CGTCGTAGGCGCCGGGGAACCTGACGGTGGGGGAGGGGGTGCCGTTGCCGCCACCCTCGACCTTGATCTGGGCGCAGCCCATGTAGAACTGGGCGCCACCGATGGCGCCGGCGGCGTGGAGAGCCGTGTGCTCGGCTCGGACGAGGTACTCGCCGTCAGGGAGCTCCTTGGGCAGGGTGAAGGTGAAGTTGTGGACGCCCTGGTTGTTCAGGAAGGTGGCCCACTGGATGCCCTGCTCGTTGATCTCCGAGTAGGTGAGCTCGTAGATCTTGAACCAGTCGCCGTCGCCCTTGTACTCCTGGGCGGCGCCTGGGGCCTTGCTGAGGTAGACGGCCTGGGGACCGGGGTGGCCGAGCTCCGAGTTGACCTTGAAGCCGAGCTGGTCACCGGCCTGGACCGTCTTGGTGTTGGTGGCGGCCATGATCGCGGCGTCGATGCCGCCCTGGTTGCAGATCATGTTGGGGGAAGTGACATCCTCGATGGGCGAGTTGGAGTTGGTGGTGCGGCGGACAAACTCATAAGCCTCGCTAGGCGCGCCGTTGACGATGAGGGACTCGAAGTTGTAGTGAGCGAAAGCCGTGGGCAGAGTAGCCGCAATGGCAAGAAGGGCAGAGAGCTTGGAGACCATTTTTGCGATTCTGTTGGTGATTTTGTCGTAGAGACTTGCTGTGTTGCTTGGTATGTGGGTAAAATGGGGTCAAGAACTTGTGGGAAGTTTCGAGTTGTTGAAAAGAATGGACTGGATCTACCAGGTATCGTGATGAAGAACGAAAGTTGTTTGAAAAAGAATGTCAAAACAAAAAAAGAAGGATGCCAGCAACAGCTGTAGCTAAAGTGAAAGACACTGGATGTTTTTGGTGATGGACAACGAAAAGAGCAGAACTCTCGTGTCCTGGCGATACTCGCCGGAGTCTTATACGAACACCATTCACAGCATCCAACAGATACATGGCACTCAACGTAAGGCACGCTATCGTCCCATGCGCCGAAGCCACCTTCATCTCCGTGTTGTGGATAAGGGGTGCAGTGATCGGAGTGGAGAGGTTCAAAGGATGGACCAGGTTGTCGGGCGCATGTCCTGAAACCTGCCAAGGGGGTGATCCTCGAGGGATCTCAGGGGGGGCAAGGGGGATGGCGGGGGGTTCAGCTTTTTCGTATCCGAGTGTCCTCCCTCTTGCCATGATCCGGGCCAACCACGAATTGACGTTTCGCCGTGACACTCGCCCGTAAGTCCCTGTCAGCATCGACTCCCACGTATCAACTTGAGTGGATGACGAGATGTCATGATAAGCGAAACATAGTTCGGACGACACTCGCCAACCTCAGCCGGCCTCACCACGTGCATGTCCCCCTCGCCTGGCCTCGCCTGTCCATGCGCCGACATTGCAGCCTCCACGCGCCGCGTTTCATCCATCCCCTTCTGTCGGTTGTCCGTAGACGAGAGGCACCATGGCAGAAGCAAGGCCAGCAGCAGCAAGCAGGGAGACACGAGCTTGGACTTGGCAGATCGCCACCATCGCCAGTGGTCCCGGCCGACAGGACCAATTTATTCGAGGAAACGCTTTGTCGCGGCCGCCGTCGCCTGGCCCGGATGGCCCGCTCCATCGGCCGGCGCTACGAGTACACGCATAGCTGGACTGAGGTCATCCTTTGCCCGGCCACTGCGGTCTCTCTGTCTATCCATCTATCACCAACTAGTTGAACGAGGTGTCTTCTGGCCGTGTGCACTTGTTGAAGGAAGAGTGCGACCTCGCCACGGCAAAATTGAATCCAATGTTCGGAAACGACTTGCCGTAACCGGAAGCTTCTGATCTCCACAGCGTTTGGCTTCTTTCGAGCCAAGCTGACATCGCGCGGGAAGCAACCTGGTAAGCGAGGCGGCTTGACGACTGCTTGCCCTTGCTTCCCATCACATCCCTTTGCCGATCATTGCCATGCCGCTGCTCATCATTAGATCCGCCCAGGTTCAAACAGCATGGACATACTGCTGGCCCGTCATCTTTGGGGCTTCACGGCGGCAAATGCGGACACTGCGGATGGGATGTACATCTTCATCACGGCGGCAAGGCAGGCCATTTTGGTTTCCGTACCATCGTCAACCATTGTCATTATCATGATCATCGGATCATCAAGCATGTACCAGCAGAACAAAAGACGCCCAACGCCTCGCAGGTCTAGAAGATGCTCGCATCGCACATGCAGAATCCAAGCGCCCCAGACAGAAAACCCCAAATCCGAGCACACTCATTTTGAAACACACAGCTTCCCCCACCACCTCCTGCTAAAAGTGAGCCCGCGTCGAGGGCTTGCACTCAACCAAGAACCGGGCAGCAATCTTTCACCGATCGCCCCTGGTCCCGTATCCCTCCTCTTCCTCGCAGATCAGCGGCATCCGCTCCATGTCTGCCTCAGCTTTCTCCCTTTCGTTGTGTAACCCGACCTGGATGGCAACAAAAAGAACGAGTGCGATGCCAAGAACAGTCCCGGTCGCGCCCATCATTATGTTCACAGGCACGGGGTTACCATGCAGCGGGCCATGGGTCCATGCATCGAGACCCGACTGCGCAAAGCTGATGATGCCGGAGATGCACACCAAAGCGCCATAAATGCGCCCAAATGTGGCGAAGCCGAAGACTTTCGTAGCGTAATCGCTGGCAGTTGTTAGCCTATGAAGCCATATAGAGAAGCTTTCCAAACTTACGAAATGGCAGAGTAGTACAGCGGCCTGAAGATCACAAAGGCCACAATCATCGCGTACCCTGCCCACAGCTGGGGAATGCAGTTGAGCACGGCAACGACGATGATCAGGACGGTCAAGATGCCGAACGTGACCGGCACGCTTGCGTTGTTGAGCAAGACGGCAATGAAGGGTGTCGCAGCGACACCGCCAATGGGCAGAGCAGCATCGAAAAAGTGGTTGATCGACTCAGCCAGCACATCAGACCCGAGCATGAAGCGATACTGGGCACGGATGGTGGCGATGAGGTAGTTCATTCTCAGCATTTGGTGCACCGTGAGCAAGAGGATCAAGATGAACCACGGCGTAAGCATCTGCTGATGGGCAGGCAGACCGTGCAGGACACCCCAGACACCACTGGCCTCGAGACGCTCTTCCTTGATCTTCACGCGCTCCTCCCTCACCTCGGCATCACCAGTGAGATCGACAATCGCGTCAAGCTTGGCCCGACGGCGCTCCGCCCGGATGCTGCGAACGTGGTATCGCTCGCCATCGCTCGTAAGGTCGTCATCGGAGGTGTGAACGTCTCGAGTGTTGTCTTCAGCACGCTCAATCTTCTCCTCGAGCTCAGGCACCGAGTGGTAAGCATGCTCGGGCATGTATGTGTACTCGGCGACAAGGATCAAGACCGGGACAATGAGGTAACCAAAGAAGAACTTCTCCAGCGAGAAGTTACCACCGGTGGCGTCGTACGCCATGCGGTAGAAGAGGAAGACTGCCGCCGATGCATCGAAGGCACCAGTAACCAGCGCAACGACCACGCCCGAGTACTGAGGGAAGGCATTGGACAACTGAAAGCTGGGGACGAAGACAAAGGCACCGCCGACGCCGAGACAGAAGTTGCCGAGCAGATAGGCGTCAAACTCCGGGATGTAGAACGAGTACCCCATGAGCACGCAGCCCATGGCGAAGAAGACAGCGCCAATGTTCCAGCAGAAGCGGCGGCCATAGCGGTCGAGTGCAGCACCGCAGAACAGGGAAGCAACGTTTGTGGTGATGGAGGCAACGACGAAGAAGAGGTTCAGACGGATATCTTGCTCGGCGCAGGGGACAATGACTCCATCGTCTTCCCGGAACGGCTTGTCGTCGGCAGGACACAGCTCACTGTACACCCCCTCGGCGATCAAGACGGGCTTGAGGGCGGCGAAGCCGAAGACGATACCAGAGGCAAGCCAACAGGTGACGATGGCGGTGGCAACTTGGACTACGTGTCGAGGGGGAATGCATCAGCACGAGGATCGAGGTGAGCGTCAGGCAGTAAACATACCGAATCGCTTCAGGTCCGATATCTTGTACGCGGCGAGACGTGGCTCCTTATGCTGAGGAACGGCGAGAACCGCATCGTGGGGGGCGAATGCGTCAAAGCTCAGACGGCGATACTCGGTCCGGCAGGCAATGTCGGCAGCGGACAGGTGCAGGACATCCTCGTGGGGAACGTCAGGCTTCGGGCAAGGCGGTGGTGCCTCGTAGTCAAAGCCTTCAGACTGGGTGACATGCTGGGCGAGCGACATTAGAGCTGCGAAACGTCTCGTATCTCAGCCGGCCGGATGTCTGGTGTTCAGCGGTGGCACGCGGAGGAGGAGGAGCCTGGCGACAGTCAAGAGGACCAGCAGCACACGAGCACAAGCTCGGCTCAGCACAACGCAGCTGTTGTACAATGTGTCGACGAAGAAGAATGCCTTTCCGTGAGAGAGCAGAGCAAGAAAGGACGGAAAGCCGAGGAAGGATGGCAGGCCCGGTCAGCTAGTTGTAGGTAGGGAAATATCTGCCCTCCCCCCCCTCCCACTCCCACGCTGGTCTCCCGTGCATGCCATGTCGGCTACGAGTAGGAGGGATGGAGCACATCATCGTGAGATGGCAACATCGACACCCGAGGCGGAGTAGCAGGAGGGGAGGGAAGGGGAGGGAGGTGTGTAGGCAGGCACGGGAGTCGATGTAAACACCATAATAGTGACAGCAATAGGAGATGAGCTTGCTCCTCTGGGGTGGGATGCGGGCATCGTGACATTCTGGGAGGGCCGGGACATGGCGGTTACGGGGCCCATGCCAGGTTGCGCCTGCCGTGGACGACATCGGACGGTCCAATCTAGCAGGAAAGAGCGAGCACAAGCACCGCACCCGCCTCTGCGGCTGCTCTAGCGCCATTCCACGACGGTCCAGGCTTGCGGGCGAGTGCATCTAGCCAACTGCCCCCCCGGCTCCTCACGCACCACCGGACATCTGTTTTCCCCATCGTCCCTACCCTTTCGGTAACATGCTGCCCAGGTTGCGACTGCCGCTAAGCTTATCGAGGGAACGAGGCAGGCAAAGGGCAGGCAAGGACCTGGTGAAATCGGCTGCTGCCAGCGAGCGGTAGCGGCGTAGCGCTGGGTTGCCCCCTGGCCAGTCGCACGCCACAGCTGGTCCATGCTCCTCGTAAGCCCTGGTTGTTCTTGGTGTCATCGTCCACCCCATACTGCCTCTCCAGTAATCGCCCCCCAGTCCTTCTCGCGCTGCCCCGGTGTGGGTGAAGTTATCGTGAAGAAAAAAAAAAAACAAGAGCATCAACTGACTGGCAAACGTTTCCTATCGCGGGCGTGGGAGATGAAAACATTGCTCCTACCCTCCACAATGGTGCTTTTACCTAACCAAGGGGGGAGGATCCCCCCCTCAACACCATGCCTCCTCGAGGCCTGATGACCGTCGTGAGATTGCATTGCCCCTCCCACCCTCCGCATTCAGTTCGACTGTTCAGTCCAGCCAGTCTATTTCCTGCCGGTCGCTGAATGCTGCCATCGGACAAGAAAGCGAATTCCGACAAAACGCCATGAAGATGCAGCGCCATCACCCGTCATGTCGCACAGGATGAGAGACCAGCACCAACATGGATGGCATGGGACGAAGCATGCAGCAAGCTCGCTGCAAGACAGGGTAGCTCAAGTCCCAACCAAGGTGTGTTGCTGCCCCTCAACGGGCGGCGTCTGACGACGACGATGCTCCGAGCTAAGAAAGCCATTCCCCCCGCGAGCTCCAGAGCCAAGGTGGCGCATAGACATGCACTGCCCTTCTCACCGCCATCTCGTCTCACTTCCTCACACCCTCATCCAGTCTCCCTACTATCCCACCTTCACGATAGCTTCATCCACACCTTTCGCTCAACCCGCGTTCCTTCCGATTGCTCTCTTTTCCCTTTGCTGCCGACACCCTGCCTTCCCTCCCACTCCCCTTCCGTGATCCCATGGCCATCATGCTGTTTGCCTTTCGCATTTTCTCCCCCAACCCCCCACGCACACCGCTCGGTGCTTGCCGCTGCAGAAACCCGCAGATCGGTCAATAAGCATTGCGCCTGCATTTTTCCGTCGGCCGGAGTCCCATCGTGACCATGCCGTGGATATCGCAGACTCGAAATCTCCATTGTCGCTTTGGTTGATGAATCGAGCCCCCGATCGTTGTGCCGTGGATCTCGTTCTTACGCATTCGTTACCGACGTGGCCAGGACTGGGCTGCTTTGCTAGCCACCATCCGCCGTGTCCGCCTCACATGGTTGCTTGAGAACCGCTCTGCCCACCCCGTCAACGCAAGTCATGCCCGTGCAGCTGGCGTGTTGATGCTCCAACCCCCACCGTCGCGTTGGGTTGCGACCACCCCACCGTCCTCCAACCCAGCTACGATGTTCTCCTCCCGTGGACCGTTGGCTACTCCCATAACCTCGCGTCAGAAAGTTTCCCACCCGCCCGCACCATCTGTGCTGGAATGCCGAAACACCGCGAAATCCACGAGCGCGCAGGGCGATTGTGGGCTGCGACAGCCGTAGCCACTGGGGTTTCTCGATGAAAGGCAGACCGCTCGCTCTCCAACGGAACCAGTTCTTGCCATCAGCGTCTGCCAGGGGGCGCCCCAGCAACCCTCCATCACCTAGGAAGCCTCACTCTCCCCCCCTACAGCCCCTCCGCGAAGTCATGACACAGTCATCGAAGAGAATCGCTTGCAATGAGTGGCATCTCAAGAGGAGGCATTCGCAGTAAATACGTGTCACTCCGCGTGCGCCATCTACCTCCAACTCGCCGTGCATATTAGTTCACGCAAACTACATCACGAAAGTTCACGGTGGCAAAACAAGTTTCAGATTGTACAGCTAGCTGGCAAGTTGGCCGGATAAGCGTCCTCTTCTTTCTGGCTGCATGGCTCAAACCGGGGAAGCGGAGCCGCTCGCGAGCAGCAGGTGCAGTTCAGCGATAGAGCTGGTGTGCTACTCGAGCTGCGAGAGGCTTGTGGCTGGCGGCACAGTTGCCACCGGAGGCTGAAGTGGGCAGCTGGTACTGGAGATAGGCGATGATCTGGCAGTCGGCATGGATGTCAGGGTAGCGGGATCGGCTGCCTTGCCCTTTTGCATCCCCTCCGTCGACCGGTGAGAACGATTGTCTCGGGAGCCGCAACGAGGCTGCTCCGTGTAACGATGCCGTCCTCGCTTCAAGCTAGGAGCGCTTGCTCTTTCTTCTGCAAGCGGCTGCACCTGGATCGTGCCGCGCCGTCATGAGCGGCAACGTGTACAGAAGTCACGGCGTCGTCCTCTGGCCACCGCCCGTGTTCTATTGCAGCGTTGGCGAAATGGGTTGCTCCACTGGCGATCTGCTTCGCGGCAGGTGTGAACCTTGTTCGTCATTTACCCTCAATGCCGCGTGTAACAGATCATGGGCTGTCAGAGGCGCTCGGCACCCTGCCTAGCAACGACGGCATGAGAACGAGAGCACCTGCGCAGACTTGGGCGATGCCGGATGATTGTCGTGAGCAAAGAATCGACTCGGTGACGACGAACAGAGCCTTGAATAGCCTGCCTCCTAATCGGGAGGGGACAGTGGGACCAAGAGATGTGTGACACAGGAGACTGCAGCTCACAGCTCACGTCTTGCATGGTTCCATGCTGGACTGGGTACCGCAATGGGCAGTTCAATGCCTGCTATTGATTGCAATGGTCAGCGCTGGCGGAAGCAAGAGGGGCGACCAGCGGGGGAGACATCGACCTTCACGCCGGTGCATCGAAGCGTGAGCTTTGGACCCTAATTCCGTCACTTTTCCCCTGCGTCTGGCGTTGTGTGTGTGTGTGACCTGCATCCAATAGCGCCCGTCGATAGGGTGAATGGCGTGTCGTAGGTGCACATGGCTTTGAAGATGCGACGAAGAAGCCAGTGGTATTCGAGGAGGTTGCCAGCCTCCGGCTTGTCGAAGCTGATGATCACGCCGTTATGGTGAATAGTGCCGGCTGTCGCTCGACGGCACGGCCAGCGCCTCGTCCAGCGCGAACCTGTGCTGATGCCCTACCTGACGGGTGAGTTCAGGAGGCTCTCAAATGGGCCCTGGGTCCCCTCTTTGGGCTGCCCAATGGCCCCGTATCCCCGAAGTGTCGTGTCCGTGATGCAAGGGGTCCAAAAACGGGGCGATCAATCACGGGGACTGGTGATGAGAACGACGCGATTGACGGTTCCTCACCAACTGCACTCTTCACTCGCTGAACCGACAGGAACATCCGCCGGTTGGCCCCGCAGAAATCTGTCGTGAGGTCATTCAGCGGGTGGTTCCAATGCCAGCGAGGTTTTCCAAGCTTTTTTTCCTTTCTTTCCCTTGTCTTTCGATGCGGCGTCCGCGCTCGATGTTGATATCTTTCCCCGCCATTCGCACCCCTTTGTCGACGACCCCGCGTTCATGGTCGGCCATCACTTGTCGACGCGTCGCTGACTCGACCACTCAAAACCACACCTGAGATGACCAGAATGGTCACCGAGGCCGCGGCCAGACGTTGACATATATATCGGGGAAAACAGAGAGACCCTGAACATTCAATTGCGTAGCCGTGTCGGACTGTTAGCAAAAAGAAAATCTCAAAACATACTACCTCTGGCAGTGCGAGACCTAAGGGAAATACGGACGAGCGCAGCCACCCGTCATGACGTCGGCCACGTGGGCAGCTCCTGACCTGGACGACCTGGCACAGGCCCCAGAGCCTCTGGCGAGGGCAATACTACTGGCTTTGTGCGACGACGAGCGGGTAGAGGCAAGAGCCCTGCGTTACTATGAGCGACTTCTGCAGTTCGAGGCGGATGCGGCACAAGGCGCTGGTAACGGCGCTGGAACGCCAGCCGTCGGCGATGAGGTCCGGAGCCCAAGGGAATCGAATCCAAAGAAACGCAAGAAGAAAGCAGGCGATCCACGGATATGTGTGCAATGTGACTGCGTCTTTGTCGAGGAGGAGAACGGGTACGAGAGCTGCCAGTACCACGCAGGTAAGAACGCGTTCTCGTGCCGCCGCATTTCCATTGGCATAGAACTGTTTCTGACCAGACGGGAAAGGCATCATTGAGCTGTTCGACGAGACGAAGGTCGATCTCGACTGGGAAGAGTACTCGCTGGAGCACCTGGACACCCCTTCCAATCGTGCCATGTTTCCCGAGGCGTTTCGATGGATTTGCTGCCGCGTAACGGCCAATGAGCCAGGATGCAGACGTGGAAGACACGAAGCAAATCCAGATCGGTCCCTGAAAGGGCGAGGTTCGGAGTCGCGAGAGTCAAGTCTCGACGGAGATCCCCTGCGCCTGGATGCACCGAGACCAGGCGAGTTGACCGCCAACGAAGGAGGACCGAAACCAGAGGAGGCCAGTCGTCAGCTCGAGTTACGAAAGTTGGGGTTAAGGCAAGGCCCAAGATGATGATGATAATGATGGCAACGAACGACGAGATGAGAAAACTTCGCGAAGATGGAAAACAACAGACAGCCAGGATGGCCCACATGGAAGGGGGTGAAGGAGAAGGGAGGTGCACTGGAAGAGAGTGCTTACGCTCGGACATGCAGCACCAGCCACGACACCAAACCGAGTGATAGCAGGCATGTGTGTCCGCGGCAGACGCACAAGCGAGACGTTTTGAGAAGGAAAGAAGGCAAGAACAAGGGAAAAAGAATGATGGCGACGGCGCCACGACCAGGCAACTGGAAAGGAGAAACAGGGGTCGGTGAGAGGTGTCGAGCAATCGGATGACTGCCGGTGTGCCCCGGTGACGGAAGCGACGGCCGGACGCGGTAGCTTGTGGTCATGTGCCGACCGTGTACTGTTTGTCAAGTCGTTTTGAAGTCTTCAGGACCTTGAGGCACGTTCAACAATGCGGGCATGACCCAACGACGACCGAGCTTCGGGGGAGCGCGGGTTGGACATCTGGGTCTGTTGTCGCGACGCTGCGCCTTCTTGCAGCGGTCGAAACCTGTCCTTGGGTTGGCTCGCCAGACCCCTGCGGCGGCCCAGGGATGACTGCAGGAGCTCCTGCCCGCACATGCGATTTTCTTAGCAAGAGGAAGGGCAGTCCTCACCTTGTCGTCATATATGTATCAAATACCGTGCAGCAATCAGGCATTCTTCCCACCATTTCACTTAGTACAGGGTTACAGTTGTGCTTTTACCAAGCGGCGAGAGCAAAGATGTAGATCCAAGACCAGTCCGCAAAGTATACTCTCACCGAATCTGACAATGCGTCAGAAGCACATCACTGTACAAAGTGTTGCGAAAAGGGACACCAACGTGTCAGAAACACGAAGTTTGGGGAGAAGAAATCGTGACGACGTTTTGTCCGACGTTTTGCTCTTTGTCATCAAGTACTGTACAAATTTCGCTCTCCATCAACCAGGTCTGCGTGGCTTAGCTGGTCAGAGCGTCGGTCTCATATTTATTAATATGACTAGGTCATCAGACTTAGATATCCGAAGATCATGAGTTCGATCCTCATCGCGGACATATGTTTTACACTTTTGCGCCTATGTAAGTAAGCCTGTTCTTAGAATACGAAGCGATTCATGATGTGCTGTGGCATGTGCCCAGAACGCCGGCAAGAGCGATTTGGATTGCCAAGTACTGTGAGTCGCGGTCGCCAGAGAGTTGTGTTTGCGAGGGCGCTTGTCCGTTCTTGTCAGAAGGCGGGCGAGACCCATTCACACTCTACTGGTGTTCAGGCACTCAACCTGGCATGCTGCTGTAGCGGAACATCCATGCCAGGCTATTTAGGGATTACAGGCGGAGTACGAATGGCTATACATGAATTCAACATAGAACCACCTTCTTCGAGGGCTTTCAAGACCAATTCTTCCCATGTTCAGCGTCTCAGCAGGTGCACAGTTCGCACCCATCATCGATGAGCAGGTCCCCATAGCGGCCGGTACTCCTGGTCATCATACACCGCCATCCACAGACCGGGCAGCGTCAATCCGCATTCCGGCTGGCCGTCTTCGATCAATCGCCTCGTGACGTCTTCATTCCACAACCCTCGCGCCCTGCGCTTCTCCACCGTGCCATGTGCCCACGCCTCGAAGCTCACGCGGTCCGGAAAGCAGGTGAGCGGCCAGAACCTCCCATCATCGGTGTCGATCGGCAAGCGGCAGAAGTGCTCCGTCAGGTCAAAGATCTTGCGCTCCTCGCCATCTACGCGTATGTGGATGGAGCCGAAGCCCTGGTAGAGGATGTGGCCGTTGAGGAAGTTCCCCGATCCGTCGAGGGCGTGGCGGATCCAGCGGGCCAGGGAACTTGCCAGGCGCTCGGCGGCCGCAACCAGGTCCACGGAGGGGAGCTGCAAAGAGCTAGGAATGAGGTTGACCTGTGTGCCGGGCTCCGGGGACGCAACGTCAAGGATCAAGGTGTTGGCAGAGTACGCGGCTATGCAGTCGCGGCGGGACGCGGCATGTGAGAGGGGGCCCTTCTGGAGGAAGCCGGCAAGGAGGTATATGTAGGTGTGCTTCAGGTAAGACGCGTGGCCATGGGCTTGAGACAACGAGCTCCGCTTGAGCGTATTGTTCCAGACGGGATTGTCTTCATCGGGGAGGTCGGATATGCGGAGCGCAACATGGAGAGTGTCGATGTGGTGTTGGCGGATAGGCACTGCAAGCCAGGTGGGCCAGATACCAGAGCCAGAGACATGCATGAGGTCGAGCCGGTAGGTCAGAGGACCCTTGAGACGTTTTAGAGTTTCGCAGCATATTTGGCGATTCGTCAGAAGAAGGTTCAACACAGTGATGCTGTTCCAGGCCGTTGCGTCAATGGACCGTTCCGAGAACAGGTTGGCTCTCTCGAGATGGTCATTTTCATCATGGGCCAGCGTACGCACTCGATTGAGCGTCGCCGAGGCACCGCTGGGTGGTGGCCGCCCGATAGCGATAGCATAACCGAGTATCAAATCGCGAAGCTCCCGTGGCAATGCCAGAAACTGGCTGTTGCCCATTGCTGGAACAGCGTGATGGTGTGCGCGGTGGTTTACGTTTCTGGTGGGGGAGACAGCACAGACCCGCATGTGCGATCAACAGTCCTCCAGGTACCGTGCGTCAGGCGTTGTAAGTACATTTCCAGTGGCACAGAGCACTAACTCAGCCACTTGAGGTCTGGACATGACATCTCGACGGCAGGCCTCCAGACTTCCAGTTCACGAAAGCCATCGAACCTAGGACGTATTGTTTTTTTCACCCGCGCTTTCATGACCAGAGGACCACTCTAGCTGCAAAATTATTTAGCGGCTCAAAATCTAGTCCATCATGGAGTGTCAATTGGTTGCCACATAATTCCGACAACAAAATGACTTTTTGAGGCCTGATAGGATAGTGTACAGTCTTCAGAGATACTACCCTTAAGCTCACAACTTTTCACCGTAGCCCTTCCCAGCATCTCTTTGGTATCACGAGGCGGCTTTGGCGGAATATCAGGGTGCGCCTGCGCCCTGGACCTGGATGCTCCCATAATGCCACTTCTGATGATCTACAACGTTCTTTAAAAAGAATCTAGAATGCTAGAAGATTTCGAGCCTGGCAAGAGTATGGAGTGAAGAATGATCACCCTAGTTGTGGAAAGGATGACCAAACCTTTCGGCCGTTGCCTTTAAGATTCTCTGGCTTCCTTCGTCTATAAAGGCATCTCCTGAGATACGTTTTCCCTCCATCCATTCTACATACACATAGATAGGCTTTGATGCTGCCATGATCCCTTCCTTGACCCATCATGTGTACTCTTCTCGGATCGAGGTTGACTGTGCTGCTGCTCTTCGCATGTGCATCTCGTCTAATGTCGGCCCTAGCGGACATTGTGACATCGGGCTTTTCCAAGCTGAGGCCCGCCATCGCAAGAACCGCTGTTCTTGATATAAGGGGAAAAAGAAAATCCGTAGCAGCTGCGATGAAGCTCGTGAAAATGGTAACAAGCTGTGCTCCCCTCAACAACTGGGGCAAGAACGCTCTCCGGGTGTATCACGGCAAGGAGCTTGTCCCTGAGAAGCTGGCTGTCAGGAGACCCTGTAGAGCCACAGCGCAGGGGGCTACTTTAGCGCTGAGGCTACGAGAGAGTACATATTAGGACTACGGAGGGCCCTCCAAGCTGCGGGGGGCCAGAGTTCAGATGTATTGCAACCCCCTACCTTATAGTTGTGGCCTGCAGACCACGAGTGGAAGGCCTCTTGACTCTGCTCCAAATCAAGCACTGGCACTGGTCCGCTAGGTATTTCATATGAAGGCTCTTCTAGTCTCTCTCTTAACATATCAAGATCTTATGAGTGGATGAAGTAACACGAAACGATCAAACCCAAGATGCACAGCTCCGGGGACATGGGCATTTTCTGGCGCGTACCCCTGCCAGAAGAATGCCATGTAGAGCAAGCCGTGCTCGGTACGACCGCCTCTGATAATCTTGCCGGCGTCACTCGCCTTACCTCCTGTCTTCGACGTAAGCCGTTGACTAAACCAATTTCTCCGCCAGGAGTCACTGAGAACGACCATGCTGCCCGATTCTCTACTGCCAAATATGACAAACAAATCTCACACGCAACCAGATCACGGTCTGCCACTGGGGTAAGCCGAATCGACGGTACACACAACAACAACACAAAATGGGATTCAGGACGGGCCTCGACGAACCTGGCCAATTGACTCGTCCCCTTGCACCACAGACAGAGAGGAAAATATGGCGCTCGATGCAGTTTCGGTTGAACATGCACTTGACATACATCACAGGAACAAAAACCATCCCCCGCTGGATACCTATATTCAGGTGAGGGCGGTGGAGGCGGTTGATGAAGTCGGACTCTATGCCTGAGCGTTGGTGTTGCCTGGGGTAGGGTAGAGGAGGAGGAGAGGAGCGATCGTTCCTCGGCAAACAAGATAAGGGACTTTGATACTTAAAATAAGTGAGACAGAATCACCTACATCTTGTGAGACAAAGGGCGCTGGTGAAATGGTGACTTTGCTGAGGCCTCCTTCGTAGGATCTGGCGGGGTCGCGTCTTGCCTCCATGTCGTCACTTCGGTACCCCTGGCCGCTGGACCCTGAAAGTTGTGGGAGGCGCTGGGATCCGGCACTTGGACGCTTATGTCATCGGGGGTCTTGCCCAGTTACAGCCAGCAACAGCACCCGGCCTATTCGGGTTCGTCGCGGCTGCCCGAACAGCCTCAGCTGAGGGAGGGGGGGGGGTCAGCGCGCGGGTAGTCGCAATGCGAACGCGAGCCCCTCCTTCCACCCGCCCAACTGAACTGAGGGCCGCAACTCGACTGGGACTGCCTCGTTGAAGACCTGTCGGAGCCGCACTGCGCCCTACACCAATTCATCGCCCATAAGCAACCTGCCCTGCCGGCACCGCAACCCTCCCCTCCAATTGATACGCTGCAACATCGTGAGCCTCTTGTCGCGACCCCACGCTTCCTCATGTCGCAAGAGCCAGTGGAAGAGGTGGATGGGGAGGACAGGAAACGGGACAAGGTCGCCGAGTTTCTGTGAGCGCGAAACCCTCAATTCCCCTGGCCACCCCCCGCAACCCCCGCCATAACGTCCCGTTCAGCACATCGTCGTGCCGTTTGCGGCGAGCACGAATCACCCTGGATCTGCGTACTGACGCGACACAACAGCAAGAAGAACCTGACCAAGGGCGAGCTAGCACTGAAGCGCGCCGCCGGCCTCGGCCAGCAGCCTAATGTCGTGCCTGTCACGGAACCACGCGTCGACGGCGAATCGCGTCACGTGGAGGTAGCATGGCACCCTGTCGGCGGGTTCGCCGGCAAGTGGTTCGCCGAGGACACGGGGCTGGGCAAGATGATCACGGACAAGATCAACTCGTACCCGGATCCTACGCAGCACTGGGCCGTACTCGTAGGCGAATTTGCGCATCAGCTGTGGATGGTGAGTCTAAGGGGCGGCCTCGTTCCATCTGCGTCACCTGAGGCTCGGTCTTTTCGCTGACGCAGTGTAGGATGAGAATTTCCATGTCATTTACACGAATGAAAAGGTCACCAGGGAGGGGTGGCGCACATTCAAAGTCGGCCAGACACGCTTCAACGACGACGCTGTCCGCCGCGCCGGTGAGTCCTTTTCGCCCCTCGTGATTGTGATGGCGAGGGAGCACTAGCTCACGGACCCGTTAGGCGAATCGGTCATCCAGAGCATCAGGAACAGGCAGCCACGGTATAACCTCATCACGAACAACTGCCAGACCTACGCCCTCGAGCTGCTCGACGCCATCAAGGTCAGCGGCAGCAAGGAGTTCGGCACCACGCTGGCCGTCTACGACAGGCTCTTCGGCGAAGGCGCTGTCAAAGACCTGTTCATCCAGGACCAGCCGCCGCCAGCTCAGATTGAGGGCGTGCCGCCGCCGCCCCAGCGGACCGATACCGTCTCGCTCGCGCAGCAGGTCATGAACGACAACACGAATCAGCTGGACACGAAGCAGGAGATGGACAGGCTCGACATGCAGCGCGATGGCACGCAGAGCCCGGACTATGTCAACGACAGCGCCAGCGGATCTCGGGAAACCCTGGACGATGGCGACCCAAAGAAAAAGAAGAAGAAGAAGACGAATTCTTTCCTGTCACGATTCATGCCAGGCAAGTCGAGCGACTAGTTGTGTGTGGGTAGAGGTGCATGTTCGAGGCGACGCGGAGCTCTTCGTTTTTTCTTTCGGGTACATTTGATGATTTGCCATTTTCACAAGACTACAGATGCTGGGCTCGATTTCTGCTTAGAATTCCAATCTTGCTTCATTATGTTCACAACAGGGCGATACATGCCCATGCTCAATATATACAGGGTGAATAGCCTCCACCTGCTGGCTTCACTTTTTTGGCACACCCAGTCTGGCCTCGCAAGGAAGCCGGGGCAGTCCAGCTTCTCGCTTTGTCGAACCACACCTCTACCACGGCCGACCAGGCAGCTCCGCCAGAGGCGACGTGCACTTGGCCTTGAGCGCGGCCTTGCCCTCGTCGCTCGTCGCCGAGACGCACGGGGCGCCAACACCGTCCTTGATGCCGTCGCACAGGATGACGGGCGGGCCGCCGCAGGGGCTCTGAACGTTGAAGTCCTTGAAACGAATGTTCTCGCATACGGCGTTGGGGCTCGAGCTGCACGTCAGGCGGGCGACGGCGCGGCCGTACTTGCCGCTCGTGGTGCCGGTGAAGTTCTCAAAGAGAACGTTAGAGATGTCGACCTTGGAGGGGAACTGCGCGCACGTCGTCGAGTTGATCTGGAAGTAGCAGCTGTCGAGGAAGGCGGCGTACTCGTTGTTGGCGTTCCAGAAGTTGCGGAACGTCACGTTGTTGATGAAGCCGTAGCCGGCCTTCTCACCGGCCCACGACTTGAGGCGGGCGCTGTGCTGCGCTGGGTGTCAGCAGGTAACTGGCATGAGAGGTGGAACAGCGGACGTGGATTTACCTGGCCGTTGAGCATCCAGACGTTCTCAATGACAACGTCCTGGATGAAGGACTTCTCGCCCTGGTACTGGCCAATGGAGCCCATGGACTGCCCGTGGGTGCCTGAAGATGGTGTCAGTCAGCTTCATATCGACTTGCCGTGACCAGTCATCGTTGCTTCTTCTTACCGTTGCAGTACATGGTGTCGACGTGAATGTCAGTGGCGTTCGACTTGGGCGAGAAGCAGTCATCGCCAATGTTGACCCAGGCCCTCTCGACGCGGACCTTCTCGACGTTCAGGGAGTCGAAGAAGTCGGTGTTCTTGGGGAGAGCAGTGGCGTTGTTGGACTCGGCCGTGCAGGCGACGTCCTTGAACGAGATATCCTTGGCTACAAAGTGGAAGAAAAAGAAGACAAGCGTCAGCAAGATGACTCGCGGACCACCCCCGAGGCAGCGAACGGAGAAACTTACAGGTGACGACGAACGTGGTCCAGCAGGGCGAGTCCTTGAAGTGGATGCCCTCGACGTGCAGACCCGTGGCGTTCTCGGCGTAGAACAGAATGGGACGAAGGTAGGCGTTGGCGGGGTCGAGGATCTCGAGGCCGGAGAACTCGTTCCACCACCGCTGGCCGTTGCCGTTGAGGACGCCCTCGCCGTAGATCTTGACGTCCTTGCCGCCCCACTTCCAGAACATGATGCTGTTCTGGAAGGGGTGGCGGAACGAGTTGGCCTGCCAGAAGGGCGTGTCGTTGGTGAACTTGATCTCGCCGTCGAGGCGCACGTGGACGTTGTTGAGGAACGTCAGGTCGAGGGGCTTGCCGATGACAAAGGTCTCGCCCTTGGGCAGGTAGAGGGTGCCGCCGTGGTTGGCGTCGTGGAGGCCCTTGAGGAAGGCGTCGGCCACGTCGTCCGTGTCGTTCTTGGAGGCGCGGATCTTGATCGTCTTGCGGTTGCAGGTGGCGCCGCGGCGCTGGTACGGGTGCTTGACCCGGAACTCCTCGAGGGAGCGGGGGACGCCGGCGGGGATCTCGAGGGCCAGGACGGCCACGACCCCGGAGAGGGCCGTCAGGAGGGAGGCGATTCTCATCGTGTAGTCTGGAGCACTCTTGGGTTTGCGAGATTGGACCTGAGGGTGAAGATCTGGTAGGAGGTCTCAGAAGCGTGCCGAAGCCGAGCGCCTTTATACGTCGTCCACATCCATCTCGACGTCACCTCCCCTGAGGAGGGAGCTAGCCATCTCGGTAGGTTCCTGGGTACCTCACCTCTCTGATCTCAGGCACGAGAACCCCTCGCGCCGCGTTTCGGGGTTTGATTTCTCCTCCTGCCTCGGGTGCTTATTTCCCCTGGGCTCGTCTCCGCCATGGTCCCCCGCCAGCGGCCCCAGATTCCCCTCACAGATGACGCCTGGTCGGAGAAGACTAGGCCATCAGGCTTGCCTCTCGCAGTCTGCCACACGGAACTCGGCACCGCAGGATGGGGGCGTGAGAATGGGCAAGCCCGCTCGAGATGGCAGCCTCGTCTCCCAAAACAAGAGCAGAACGAGAGCTCGTCGAAAGAGGAACCCTGCCTCGGCGGCGGCGGCGGCCCCGGGGCATTGCTGTGCATTTAGCTGTGCCGGATAGCCGTTCAGGGGAACCGATCCTTCTTCACGCCAAGCACGATCATTGATGGAAATCCGTCATGGCTCGCCACGCGCCGCCTTTGCAACGTGCGGGCTGGTGTGGGGAGAGAGCTGCAGCGCCAGGGCTGATCTAGACGACCCACATCACGGCTTTCCATTCATGGGAAATTGTTCCCTGGGGGTGCCTAGGCGAGGGGGGGGGATCCCGATGTGTCTCCCTGGGGGTCATTTGGGGAACTGATCCCCGGGGCTAGATCGCCGTTTGGTGGTGGTGCGGGGGGCGGCCCCGAGATATGCTTGTTTTTTGTCTTTTGCCTTTTTGGCCTTGTTACCTGCTGGTTGCAAGGGAGGGGCCCTGCCTGGAGGTGGTATCGCGTGGGCTGTAGAGTGGCCAGATGCACTGCAAGCTGAAATGAGCAATCTATCTGCGGCATGGGCTGCAAAGGCTGTGAAGGGCTCTTCTCATGTGCCCGTCAGCAAAAGATATGGCTGCGCTGTCGCATCTTTTGCGCCAACGACACAACATTTGCCTGCAGCTTTGTATCTAATTGCTGTGGAAATTGTTCGTTTCATCGTCGTCTTTGTCGTCGGAAGAATTGTCGTCTGATGACCGAAGACGAGGTGCATCCAAGTCGAGCGAAGAAACCAGGGACCACGACTGACGCTTCCTTTGCGTGAGGAATCAGTGAGGGAGGAGGGCCTCTGTACTCGACCGGCCGGCCGACCGTCTCAGAAGGTCGAATGCTTCTCAGACCCAAGGCGGTGTACGTCAGCTGCTGGAGGCCTTCGAGAAAGCAGCAGAGACGATGGGGAAGCCAGCAAATCTTCACATCAGACGGATCAATCTTCAATCATTGTATGTTTAAACATTCCTGACGTTCCAAGTGAGCCGCATCGAGTCCAGGAGGGGCGGGCACAGGCTGAGCCGCAGGCTTGGAGGATCTCTTGGCACGCCCGCCAAGCGAACTGACATGTCATGGCCCGATGCAGGGTGTTCGCCATGACGTCGATCTGAGCCCGGCTGCTGTGTGAGACCACCGCAGATCGTTTGGCGATGTTCAGCTGCGCTGCTTTCTGGTGTTCAGATCGAGTTGAGGTCCGGAGGCCGGTTGGTGTTGCAATTCGTTTCGTGCCTTTTCGTTGAGGCGCCAGGTCCTCGGTTGACGAGGCACGCAGGTGGGAGAGGCACACAGGAGGGAGTGTCAGCAGTATGTCAGCAGACCGCGAACGAGGTATTCATTCGCTGTCTCACGATCTGGGCAGATTCTTGTAGAAATTAATTCTCGGCAGGTTCTAACGAAATGGACTATAGCTTAGGTTCATCATCGGAGGTATCATACGCAAACTCAGGAAAAGAGGTAAACAAAGTGGCCTCCAGAGCTCATCGCAGTCTTGCACAAGATGATCCAATCCCACGATCGCACAGTATCTCACGACCATATTCATCCTCGTACCATCACGAACTAAACGAACTCCCGCTTGAGCTGGGACTCCGCATGCGCACAATCCTGACGCCGCCGGGCCGGTTGTGCTTCACGTCAGCCTGGTTCTTCTTGAGTCGCGCGAGCTCCTCGTCCCCGACGGCCATGGTGCGAATGTTCAGCCCCGGGAAATTCTGGCGCAGATACGCCGCGAAGATGGGCAGGATCGACTTATCCGGCCGGTAGGTGCCCGACTCGTTGTCGATGATGAGCTGGTAGTAGGACGGGCTGTTGGACGGCGTCGCGTCGAGGTGTTCGCGGAAGTTGCCTGAGATGGCGAGGTTCGCGAACCGCGCCCTGCCGCGGTCGTCGTCGGCGGCGGGGATGCCGCCGGCGCCGGAGGAGGAGGAGAATGTGGAGGACGGCGTGTGGGGCCGCTCGAGTCGCTGGATGAAGAACTCGCCGGCGCAGGCGACGTAGCGCGCGACGTCGCTGTGCATGGTGTGCTTGCTCAGCAGGTCGATGCTGAACTCCTTGCCCGTCTCGGTGAAGCGGAAGCGGCCGTCGAGGGTCAGGACGTAGGTGAAGATGCGGCCGCCGTCGCCGTAGTGGGCGAGGCGCAGCAGCTCGGTCGACGCCTCGACGGTGCACGGCGTGAGGGTCTTGATCTCGGACGTGACCTTGTGGCGGTACACGCGCCTGTGCTGCTTGTGCAGCGCGCGGCTGAGGATGCGGCCGCGGAGGCCCTTGGACGTGAACATGGAGCCGATGATGTGGCGGAACTCGACGTAGCGGTGGTACAGCTCGGGCGGCACTGGGCCGGCGAGCTGCATCTCGCTTGACTGGAAGCTGTGCCGGCGTCAGCAGTGGATTCGTGGGGTCCCTCCTCTTGCCAGGGGGGAGGTCAGGGGCACTCACTCATATCTCTGTGCGTGCTTGACGTGGTGGCACCCTTCCTCGACGTCTGCATACTCATAATCGTCGTCTGCGTTGACATTGACACGCGTCCCCGTCAACAGCCCGATCGTCGGACTGAAGTGCTTGATCGACATGGACGGCCCGACAGTGTAGATCTGCGCATGCGGCGGCGGCGACACGCCGAGCACCTGCATGCTCACCCACAAGCTGGGCGTGTAGTGGTCGTGCCCGCTGTACAGGGCGCGGACGAGGTAGACGCCCTTGTGTGCCGAGCGTTTCCTGACCTTGTACTCCCTGCCCGGTGGCGGCACGCCTTCCCAGTCCTCGCTGATGCCGTCGACCTCGATGGTGACGTTGCCGAGCCGGTCGTCCGAGTCGGGGTAGTCCTCGTCGTAGATGCGGCATTTCAGGGTGAACCCGCTCGCCGGGACATTGGCGACGATCCATTCCTCCTCCCAGACAGGCTTCGTCGTGCGTCGAATGGTGCGCGACCGCCACGTGAGATCCGGGTCCTCCTCGTGCCGCGTGACGAGCGGCGTCTTCAGCGTGGCGTGGACGAAGGGATCCGACGACCACGTCGACAGGTCGGCGACGGGCAGGTGCTCGGCGCGGTGGAAGATGAACTTGACGGTGAAGCCCGGCGGCGCGTCGGGCAGCGGGGTCCTGTCGAGGCCGCCGGGCAGCTTGGCGACGGCCTTGTGCTTGATCGTCTTGGCCTTCCGGATGGCCTTGTCCTTGAGGTTGAGGCTGCCGTTGTCGGAGGAGGAGCTCGTCACGGACGACGCCGACGAGCTCGTCCTGCGCTTGTGCTTCGACTTGGACTTCAAGCGCCCGCTGCGACCGACGCGATGCGTCTCCTGCCCATGCTCATGCGCATCGTGGGGTGAATCATGTCTCTCTGGTGTCTCGGTCAGCTGGCCTGCTCGCTCTTCACAGCATTTTGTTTTTTCTGTCTTTCTTGCTGGACAGATTTGACAGGGAGAGGGTGGCAGGGGCCTGACCAGTGTGTTCGAGGGGCAGCTCCTCCGATGGCTGCGAAGACGTCGCCTGCATTGCCACGGCGATGGGGTTCTCACCAGGCACCTGGTACGACTGCGTGAGATCCGGAAAAACTGTTGCGTTTCGCTCGTGAAGTGCTCTGGTCAAACAGTGCCAGTGCCCGGAACCGCGCTCCCTGTCCGTAGATTCATGCTCCCGAGATGTCGTCTTGGCATCCGGGATGCAGTGGAGATAAAAAGTGCCTCCCGTCCGAGGTCATGAGTCGGTCGTTGATGGAAATGGGGGTTGTCCAAGGGCTGAAGTGAGAAGAGGCTGGGGGCCCAGACGAGGGGAAGGCTGGTGGTGGGTGTGGGTGGTAGGCGTCAGCCGCAGTAGAACCAGATACACACACGTGGTGCTGCCGGATGCAGAGGCAAGGCAGCAGCTGCCTGGGCTAGACGCGTGCGGCGTCAAACAGGTAAGGCTGTGCTGGGAGCGCGACTCGTCATTCGACAGCGCCACGAAAGGGGTCGCTCTGCCGGCTACTCGACTTGCTCGGCACTTCGGCATTGTCTGTTGTGAGCTAGACATTGTCTGCTGTGAGCTAGACACGTCAAAAGGGAGTTTGGCTTCGTTCTAAAAAAGATCGTACGGAAGCTCTGGTGCCTCAGCCACAGGCGCGGCTATTGATTTGGCTTGCATGTGGAGGGCTTTTTTTTGCCATGTCTCGGCAGTCGCGCATGGATTGACGAGGGTCAGCCTTGGGAGTGGAGGGAGATAAACATCTCGTCGACGGTTCTCGTGGCCTATTTGATCTATTCAGAGGCCTCCGTGGTTGCGCTCTGCTTCTCGTCTCTCGTATTCCGCCGGAAAGGAGTTGCCGTGGGGCTCCACGCTGCTGGCCACCGACACACGGTGCACGAGGTCTGAGCACTCCATCTTCATTCAGCACAAGGGCAGACATTCCTGCTGGGAAACGGGCACATGCAATGTCGGTGCTGTTGACTACGGACTGCTCCATCTTCATACGCTCATCGGCATCACTCCCATCTCGCACGCACGCAGACACCACGGCTGCGAGGCGGCGCCCCGGGCGTCACGTAATCCGCGTGAATCCTCACATCATCCAGCGTCGTCTCGAACAGCTCCAGCGTCGGCCCGCCCTGCTCCTCGACCTGCGGGTCATAGACGCCGTACCGGCGAAAGAGGCCCGCCGTGAACGTCTGCAGCTCCTGGTACGCCAGGTTCATGCCAATGCACTGCCTGCCGCCCTTGGAAAAGGTCAGCGAGCGCCGCAGGAGCGCCGGGTTCTCGAGGTAGCGCTCCGGCCGGAACTCGTCGGCGTCGTCGCCGAACCACGCGCTGTGGCGGTTGAGCATCCGCGCCGTCATGCCGACGCTCGTTCCGCGCGGGATGACCGCCGTGCCGCTGCCATCGGCGTACTGGAAAATGAGATCCTCGTCCGGCGCGACGCGGTCCTGGCGGTGTGTCGCGCTCGCGTACAGACGCAGACACTCTTCGATGAGGGCGTTGAGGTAGGGCAGCGCGTCGAGCTTGATCGGGTCCGGGGGCTGCGTCGGGTCTGGCATGGCCGAGTCAAGCTCACGGCGCAGGCGGTCGAAGATGGGCCGGTCGTGCAGAACACGGCAGATGAGGGCCGTCAGGACGGAGGCCGTCGTGTCGGCTCCGGCAATGGTGATGACCATGGCCTCGTCGACGAGGCGCGGTGTGCTCTTTTCAAAATCGGAGACGTCGCTTCGGATGATTTCGTGGAAGATTGTATTCCTCTCCGGATCGTCCTTGGACTTTTTGATGTCCTCGATCTCGGCTGCGAGGCCCTGGAGGCGTTGTCATTTCGTCAGTTCCCTGTTCCGTCTAACCAGACATGCGCGTCACGAAAAAGGCAGGACCAAAAATGAGGGCTCGCTACTGACCTCGAGGAACATGATGAAGCTCGCCAGCTGAGGGCTCAGACGCTTGAAGAGAGACGCCGGCATGCTGTTCAAGATGCCCAAGACAGCATGGAAGTGGACTCCAGCGTAGGCCAGGCGCTCAGGTTTCGACACCCGGAAGAACGCGGCGTTGAAGTCCTCCTGGTCGAGACACTTGACACCCTTTCCGAGGGCATAGTTCTGGATGACATCCTTGGTGGCCGCCTGCAGCGCAGGGTTGATGACGAAGGGTGTCTCGGTCTGCGCGAACCCTTCAAAGCGCCGCAGGAGGTCGGCGAGCGTCTCGTCTATGACGGGCGCCAGTCGGCGGACGTTTTGCTGGGAGAAGAAGCGGCCCATGGCGGCGCGGCGCGGCCGGTGGAGGTCGTGGGGTCCCGTGGAGATGGAGGCATAGTGCGTCTGGAAGAAGTTGAGGACGGTCCAGGCCTTGTCGCGACGGTGGGACGAGGACTGCGGGGCGTAGAGCTGGTCGACGAAGGCTGGATCGTTGACGTGCAGGACGTCAGGCATGACCCTCACGACGGGTCCGTATCTGCGATGCATCTCCTCGATGACAAAGGTGTACTGGCCGCCGCGAACAATGTCATGATAGGCAGCATACCATGTGGTCAGAGCTGGTGGGTGTTTGTCAATGGCTGCAGTCTGCGGATGTTCGTTGACACGTACCTGCAATCGTTGGACCGGGAAACTTGCTCAATGGGCTGAAATAGACGCGACGTATGGCCACGACTGCGCAGTAGAGGACGACGAGTCCTGAGAGCAAAAGGTAACTCACCATCCTGCATCAGTGTCCAGGCACTCTCTGCGGATAATGGACAACGCCCAGGCATCGCGAAGCGGAGAGGCCTCGATTTATGGACGGCATTCTGAATCCTTCAGCATGTCTGCCACTGAAAGGAGTCCGAGTGGCCCAATGACGATGTCTCAATTATAGCAATTTCAATCTCTCGGAGGCTGCTCAAACATGCTTTCAAGCCGGGCGTTTGGTTGAGGGTGCGTCGACCATGTGGGAGAGACGCTAAAAAGTGACGTAAGCAACATCCTCGCGATGCTTGTCCGAGGGAAGGGGTGCCAATGGCCACTACCTTAGGTACCTTGTTACAGATAGGTCCGATTTTACAGAAGGAACCTACTGCAGACAAGATTGTTGAGGCAGATTTTCCCGCCTCTTCATCATGGACAGTAATGCGCTTCGATTAGGTTGTGTTTGGGTGTTCTGATGGGAGATGCCTTTCAGCAGTGTCGACGCCATGCTCCCTCCTGCCTGTGAACATTGGAATTTCGTGGGCTCCAGCTTTTCATATAATGGCCCGATGAAAGAAGACAAGAATAATCACCCCACATGAGGCGCGAAAGCTCATCTTGCGCGTAGGTCATTGCTGGTAGCTCTCTGGCTTTCTGTGAGGCCGTTGATTATCTATCATGGGTCCTCAGCCAATGAGGCGAAGAGAAATAACCGCCGCCAAAACACTGCCATACGTGTAGAACGGGCAGGGTAAGACGAGGCGAGAGCGAAAAGATCGAGGACGTGAGCATCATCTGGATCACAGAATTCGACTCTTCTCGAGCCTGCATCATTGGCCGAGGCTCGCGCGTGGCTGATGCAGAGACCTTGGTTGTGTCGAGTTGCTGGACGTGTGTCGAGGGTGACGTCAAGGCCGCACAACGCGGCGAGTGGGCCAATGACGTGCCCAACACCCATCCCCAGCCAGCTCACCACCCTGTTTTCCAACTTCACGGCGACAGGATCCCGGTGAGATCATACGGGGAGCAGGTATCTTTAAGGAAGATGGAGCCCGGGAGGCTACATTCTGCTGCTTCTCGTTCCCTCTGAAAGAATTGCTACTTTTTTTTTCGACAACCATCACGTCGCTTCCTCCATCCCCGCTACATCGACCCTTCTCGAGCTCCAGTCCGAGCTCGGTACCTACCTCGAACGCAGAGGACCCCTAAACCCTCTAAAGACCCCTGAAGCTACTCCCACACCAACACCACTCCGGCCCCTCACAACCGCCACCATGTCCAAGCCCAACAACATCTACCACCGCAACCGCGATGACACCATTGAGGCCACGACCCTCCTGTGGCGCGCCCTCTGCGACTCAAACCCGAAAAAGTCCCTCAAGAAGTACCTCGGCGACGACGCCATCCTCGTTCAGGTCGACGGCACCCTCGTCTCCAAGGACACGGAGCCCTCGCTCGAGGAGTACCTCGAGGACATGGAGCCCTGGACCGCCTACCGCATGCAGGACGCCGACGACGCCGACTTTGTCGAGATTGACATGATGTCCACGTCGCTGACCTACCGCGTCACCGTCTGGCAGCAGATTGGGGACGCCAAGGACCGCATGAAGCCCACCGAGGCCATCTGCACCGACGTCTGGCGCCAGAACGCCGGCGGCGACTGGACCTGCTGCGTCCACCACATGGCGCCTGCCTAAGAGAACCCCGAGAAAGTTTGTCTTCGTTTTCAACAGTATTTTTGGCTTGGGGAGTTTTGTATCATTAGTTCACGAGACATGACGAGCGAGGGAAGGAAGGCTTCGTGGATGTCATGGAGCATTGGGTTTCGGAGTTGGATTAGGACTGAATTGAACCCTTTTTTGATCCTTCATTGGATGCCTCGTTTTTTTCTTCTTTTTTTTTTCTTCCCTTGTCGCCATCTTATCTCTTGTCTCCTCTGATACTCATCACGCTCGTCCTGCGCCGTGGAGGCGACCAACGATCCGACAGCTCTATGCCCTCTTCCGACTCTTCCACTACCCTGCTTGACTGGCGGCTGCTCGAGTCGTACTCGACCGTGACCTCCCGCGTCCTCGTGATGCCCGCTTTCTGCTCCAATTCTCGGGGTAATATGCTCCGGTCGCTGCTGGCATCGCCCTTGCTCAACGCGAACCCGTCGTCGTCGACTGTGTTGACGGCGTTGCTCGGCGCTTGAAACTTGCTCAACGTATCGGACTTGATGTACTGGCCGGAGGGATACGCAGAGGGACCGCGACCGCTGCGCACGTTCCGAACGAGAACACGGAGAACCGGAATCGAAGCCGCGATGATGGTCGCGTTGGGTTCGGCTTCGGCCCAGATCCAGAAGACGGCGAGTTTCCATGTGTCTGTCGACCAGTCAGCAACGTCCTACACGGACACGAGAGGGGTGGGGGGGGGGGGGGGGGGGATACAGTCTTCAACATTGGTAAATTTAATGATGAGCACACTGTAGGAGCCCTTCATGATACCCATGACGCCAGCTCTAAGACAAGGTCAGCTTCCCTCGTCACAGGAAGCACATACGGGCGTATAGGTATTGAGACGTACAGCACCCCTATGCTCATGGCAACGGCAACGCCAATCTTCTCGTGTTTCCTCATCTGCAGCCCCATGACAATCTTCCACGGCAGAAGGGCGAGCACAAAGTCTGAAAGAGCAGAATAGACTAAACACAGCGTCAGCCATAAGCACATCGGCTTTCGCACAGGCCAGTCATGACGTACAGCCACCGAATATGCCCAACGTAATGGCCTCGTGAGCCTCCCAACAGGTGCCCGGAAGATGCGGTGTCGTGTCGCCTGGCACCCGCGGGCAGATCGCTCTCCAGGTCAAGATGATGTGCACCAAGAACTGAATATTCATGCTCACGACGAGAAACCAGATCAGGTAGATCTGCCACCCGGTCGCGATCCGCAGCAGCGTCACAGCAAACGACGTCTTTGTCAGCGCCAACGCGAGCTTGTGCGTGTTATCGGCGCAGTAGAGAACCGTGCTCATCGTTGGCGTCATGATCAGCGTCTTGCCGAACCCCAGGTGCACGAGCCTGCTCAGCAGCCCGGAGGAGACGACGAGGAACGCCCAGCCGGCGAGGAGGAGGTAGTCGTCGACCCAGACCATCCATCGCACGCGGATGGCCTTGCAGTAGATTCGCAGGCCCAAGAATATGGTCGAGACGGCGAGCATGGGCCAGATGGCGGCGTTGACCACTGTCTCTGCGTTGCCATGGTGTGTCGACGTGGCTATCTGGGTGGCATCGTCCCGGGAGAATATGGGGAACATTGTCGCTAGGGAAAGAGTTGTCAAGACGGAACGCCAGACTTGATTTGATATCTATCGGGCGTTCTGTCTTCTGGCTTGAAGAGGGGATTGTCGGGCCTTTACAATCGGTAGTCAGTCGAGCTCGGTGGCTGAACTACTGGTCCAGTTGGCTTGTGAGCTGAACATGCTGACAGCAGTGGCAAGCCCTCACTGCATTTCACAGCTCAATGACTAGAACCCTTGTTCGGACGGTCGGAACGACATGGGAAAGTAATTAGGCGACATCGGACGATGCTACGCGCCCCTGACCCTTCGCCATTCTCTGACAAAGGTACCTTGAGTGCCTCATGCACACTATTAGGGGGAGCAGCTGCCCGTCCTGTGCCTACCCCGAGCAAAGTGAAGCCTCTGCATCAATCTTGGGCTGGGTGGTATTTCAACACGACTTGAATGAGATATTTTCGAGCTCTCGGTAGCATCACAGTAGGAGGCTAGCATGACTCTTGTAGGTTTTGAGATTAGTCGGCAGAAACGGCAAGTCTTTGGGTTGAGGTTGTTCTTGCTGATCTAGAGCCCTTTCTTCAGACATGATCGAGCATGGACCAAAGCTTATATCCTAACGATAGCTTAATTCAAAGTTCGTCACACAACGTGTAGTCCCCTTCAGTGGCGAGAACGACTTGCCTGAGAGAGACTAAGCTCTTCCCAGCTTGTGTTTGTGTGCCTTATACCCTGTAGGGTCGCCTCGAACTCCCACTTTGCTCGAAGGGCTAGGCTTCCTGCCACGACTCGCGGTGCCAGCAGAGGGAGTAGTTCGCTTCAGCGTGAGCCCTGCTTCAATAGGTCTCTTTTTCACAACGTTCCATTCTCCTGCACGTTGGATTACTCTTCAGGGGGGAAGCAATCAACTTGAGCCAGAACCTTGCATGAGAACCAGGATTGTGCAGGCGGCTGCATATACCCAGACCCGCGGGTCCAATCATAGGTCCATGAAGTTGACGTACCAACACGAGCAATCATCATCAAATAGCGAAACCGAGAAACCCAGCAAGCGAAGGGTTCACAATACCTGACATGGCAGCTGTGCCTTGCTCTCCAATTCAGGATCGTAACATTTGCATGCCGAAATCGATAGTTCGACGTGTATTCCGCGGAAGCCAAACTGGAACACACACGGAGGTTCAGGAGCATCAATATATCCTCATGCGATGCCGCTGCGATCTGACCTCTGATCTGCATCTCGACTCCACGTGTGCGTATACCGTTCTCAGCCTCCCGACCCGCCACGACCATGCTCACCACCCACCTCTTCGTTGCCGCTGCCGCTCTGGCAATCGGCGCCGCCGAAGCCTCGGCCGTTGATCTGCATCTTCGCCAGACGTCCGAATTCACTATTCCATCTACTGGCTACACAAGTGTGAGTTCTGGGCTGCGGACGGAGGCTTTCTGCTTCCGTACGTCCACGGGAACTCAGTATGAAACTGACTCTTCCTTCATAGTGCGATGCCTTAATCGCAGCCGGTCTTTCGAGCAGTGTCTTTTTCCCTACGGACGCCAAGTACAAATCCAGCATCAGCTCCTACTGGTCTGGGACGGTCCAGCAAATCCGACCATGGTGCATCATCCAGCCGGCGAACACTGTAGAGGTCTCCAAAGCTGTGGCTGCTCTTGCCAAGACGAGCCCGGCTGGTAATTGGGACATTGGCGTCCGAGGTGGTGGTCACTCTCACTTTGGGTCCAATAACGTCGCTCAGGGTGTGACGATTGACTTGAGCCTACTCAACAGCACCGTCTACAAGAACTGCAGCGTGAGTGGCCCAGATCGTAACGCGGACGAGACCCGTCACTGACATGTTGATTTTCAGGGCATTGTTCGCATTGGGGGCGGCTCGCGGTGGTCCGGCGTCTTCCATGAAATTGAAAAGTATGGCCGCACTGCGACGGGTGGCCGCGAGGGCAACGTCGGCGTCGGTGGCTTGTCTCTCGGCGGAGGTGCCTCCTTCCACACTGGCAAGCGTGGCTTCACGTGCGACGACATTGTGAACTATGAAGTTGTGCTTGCGGATGGCACGATCGCCAACGCCAATGCTGGGGAGAATCCGGATCTTTACAGAGCCTTGAAAGGCGGAGGTAACAACTTTGGCATCGTCACGCGCTTTGACTTGCAAACCTTTGAAGACGCAAAGGGCGGGCTTTACGGCGGCCTATTGTTCTTGACCTACGATAACCGGGACGCTATTCTGGCTCAATTCTCAAGGCTTGTTGAGATCAACCACGATCACCCCGAGGACACAGAAGTCGTTACCTTCACCTATGGCGGGTCGGGCGCACCCATGATTGCTGTCGTCGCCATTAACACGGCTGGCGTGGAGAATTCAACCTCGTTCGCTCCGCTGAATCGGTTGACGCCTGTGCTGGATGACCGCAGCAGGAAGACGTATGGCAAGGTTATCACGGACTTTGCCACTCCCGGAGGTGCCAGGTATGTGTTCAATAAGCTTCAGGTGCGGTTGCGCTGTCTGACTGACAAATCGCAGGAGCGTCTGGTTCTCTATCTGCTTCCAGAACAACATGGATGTCCTGAACAAGATGTCTGCGCTTTACGATGCCTTTGTGGCTGACTTGACGAGCTTGTGGCCCGAACTCGGCATCGCCTTTGTCATCCAGCCTCTTCCCAAGCACTTCGCCAACAGGGGGAATGGTAACAATGTCCTTGGCCTGAAGAAGTCTCTGACACACGACTCGATTGTCTGGCTCGGTCAGGTTTCCATGCAGACTCTCGAGCAGGAGTCCGTGGCCTTTGCGAAGCTCGCTGCGTTGACGGCTGAGCTTGAGGCCTACGCCGAGTCGAAGGACGCCTCAACTGCGTGGAGGTACCTTAACTATGTCAATCCAGCTCAAGACCCCCTGTCGACGTATGGTGAGGAGAATGTTCAGTTCCTGAAGAGAGTGGCGGCTGAATATGATCCGAAGGGATTCTTTCAGACGAGGGTCTCTGGAGGGTTCAAAATCTCACGCGTGCAGTGAGAACCAGATTTCTCACGGTGCGTCATGAGTAGACAGCGTTCCGGTAGTTGTATCACATTCTCGTGTCCATCAGATTCATGTGCATGACTTTGGCAAGCCCTAGAATGACTGCCGTGCGGGGGGTTGCTACTCTGCCGAATTCAACCAAACTGCTTGGGTGCTGCATTAGGCAGCTGCGTCGGGCATTTGACAAATTACATTCCGAGGTCCCGTGTCCTGAGCTGCCACTATTCGGACAATTGCAGGGCCAAGGTGATACCAAAATAGATGATTGTGTGCTTGAGGAGTGCCGCGGCGGACCTCTAGCCTCCGCAATTAGACTTCATTTGTGTCTACTATGGGATACCATGTTGGATTCGTCGCAAAGCACCCCGCGTGGCTTACCTGCTCTTCTAGTGACAATTGTCAGCTATGGATGGCGTTTGGTTGGCTTGAACATATTAGCCGCTGCACTTAACCGAACCGTACTCGACCGATGTCTGGTTCATCCGTACCCCGGATTCACTGCAGAGACCATCGTTGTTTCCGTGTACAGGGAGTTCAGACGGCTTATAAGTGGATTAACCTACTTCATTTTCAACCTTCAACACATTTATTCAACGAACTACCTTGGACTTTGGTCATCTGACTATTTCTGAATTACTTCCGACTGAAAGAAAATGAAGTTCTTCTCGGTTCTCTTGCCTGCGGCCCTCCTACAGGTGGCCTCAGCCCATTGTGAGGATGATGATCTGATCAGACATGCCGTGCAAACCTAACAGTATCCTCAAGATACCTTTCCTGCCATTTCATCTGGCGGCCAAAGCTCCGCCAATTGGCAGAATGTCCGCCAAACAGCGAACTACCAGACGACTGGTCCAATCACCAACGTGGCCAGCTCCCAGATGACCTGCTACGAACTGAGTCCGGGCAGGGGCGCGCCTGGAACTCTGGCTGTCACTGCTGGCAACACCGTCTGCAAGTTTAATTTCCAAGACGATGGTTCGTTAACATCGTGTTACCAGGCTAACTGCATTCATAGCCTTCACTTCCAGCCCTCCTATCTTTCATCCTGGCCCTGCGATCGCTTACCTGGCTCGGGTTCCTTCCGGACAGACCGCCGCTACATGGAACGGCCAGGGTGCAGTCTGGTTCAAGGTCTGGCAGGATAATGCGTCCATCTCTTCCGGTGGCATCAGCTGGCCCAACATGAGTATGTAATTGCAGAACCGCCAATATCTTATCTCCAAACATTGACGCAACGAAAGATGCCGGCTCCGTGAGCTTCCCGCTCCCCCGCTGCCTTGACAACGGCGAGTACCTCGTGCGATTCGAGCACATTGCTTTGCACTCCGCTTCGAGTTCTGGCGGTGCGCAGCTCTAGTAAGATTGATCGAAGCGTCTTCCTGGAGAATAAGTAGTCGCTAATGTGATGCAGCCTGAGTTGTGGTCAGATTCGAGTCTCTGGTGGCTCTGGTGGTTACAAGCCCGCACGCCTCCTCAGCTTCCCCGGTGCCTACAATGCGAACGACCCTGGACTGCTGCTCAACATTTACTACCCCGTCCCAACCTCGTATACGTGAGTTTTATACATTAGTGCCAAAAGATGACCCTCCAGGTGGTTTTCCATGATGGCTGACATAAAGTTTTGCAGTCCACCTGGTGGACCGGTTGGATCTTGCTGATCGCAGATCAAGTCGCGACGGGTTCTCCTAGAGAGAAAGGGCTACGGACCAGTCATTGAATAGGACTGAATGAATGAATGATGAAACTTGGGAGGCATGACAGCAACAGGTTTCCAATCTCAGTCAAGCCACCCTTACACAACCTGAATTATCTGCACACTGTGCAAACAATCAGCAGCCTTTCAACTTTGATGTATAGCATTTGGTTCTCTGCATGCTTAAATACGGGGATATCTGAGAATCTCCAGCACCTTGCTGGCATTAAAAGCTTATTATTCCCTACCTTACTTAAGAATCATTGTCGCCCGTCGTTCGACACCTGTAGAACAGAAGTGATCCATCCGACAACCTGTCATAATACGCAGCCATGGGCCTCTCGAATTTACTGCTAGCGCTTCTTGCTTCACTCACCCTGTCGGAGCCAATATCCGCCAGTGCGGTGAAAAAATCTCTCGAATGGAAGGCCTGCAACCCTGGTGAATCAGCACATAGCAAGACGAAAGTCGAGTGTTCTTCGCTCCAGGTGCCTCGTGACTACACCACGTCCAAGTCCAAAGAACGGGTGACCATCGAGCTGGTTCGTGCCAAGGCGAAGAAACAGCCCTCGCGCGGCTCCATCTTGTACAATCCAGGAGGCCCAGGTCTCCCGATGAGGTCCAAGATTTCGACCGACTCTGAGCTTCTGCAATGGTCAGTATCCTGGAGGCCCGCGATGTAGGGCCGATTCTGACTACTCCCCAGGATGAGCGGAGATGAGTACGATCTCGTCACCTTTGACCCACGGTAATTATTCCCATCAAGCTTCTTCCTCAGAGGACACTTCTAATCGCTTATAAGCGGCACCGGCCCCTTGCCCTTCACATGCGGCACCATCGGTCCCATGCTCTCACAGCACAGGGCGAACGAAACCATCGAAGAGATCTGGAGGCGAGCTGCCGCCGTGGCTGCTCAATGCGCGAAGCACTCAACGGGTAATCAGCACGCGGAGTTGCTAGGCACCGTAGCGCTCGTCCGCGACATGATGCAAGTTGTTGATGCTCTAGGCGAGGACGGCTTGCTTCGTTTCTGGGGTGAGTTCTCTTTTGTCTCCCTTCCCCATTCCGAAATTCGTTTCAAGAAAAAAGGGCCAGAGTGAGAGAAAGCTGACTGGCGGAAAGGATACTCCTACGGCACCATCGTTGGCGCCACAGCAGCAGCCATGTTCCCGGACCGCATCGACAGGATGGTCCTCGACGGCGTCGTGAACCCCCACAAGTGGTACCGCGGCTCGAGTGATCCAGACATGACCATGGACGCCGACAAGGTGCTTACAGCCATGCTCGAGCTGTGCGTCACCCTCGGCGCGACGAAATGCCCGCTCGCCAAGCATGGCAGCACGGCAGCAGACCTCTCGGCCAAGGTCTGGCGGCGCATCGACGACCTCAAAGTCCAGCCCGCAGTCATCACCATCAAGCCCAAAGCCAAGGCTAGCCTGCCGTTCCCCGTGGTCATCCTAGTGACGATCGACTACATCAAGGCAATCCACCTAACGTCCAACACGCTGATCAACAGGGCCCTCTGGCCCCAGCACCTCAACTTCCTCGCCAGCCTGCTCGCCGTGCGCGGGTCCGACCCGTACGAAGCGGCCAGCGGCACCGCCGCCGCCGCACCGTCTCTGGCGAAACCCAGCAGCGCCAGCGACGCCGACGCCCGCCTGGGCGCCTACATCGCCATCCGCTGCGGCGACAGGCTCGAGCGCGCCGCGGCCTTCGCGGCCTTCGCGCCCGACATGGCCGCGACGGTCAACAGCAGCCGCATCTCGGGCGGCCGGTTCGCGGCCATTGGCGCCACGTGCGCGCAGTGGCCGTGGCGCGCGCGCGAGGCGTATGACGGGGACTTTGCCGTGACGACGCGGACGCCCGTCCTCGTCGTGAGCGCGGAGCTCGACCCGCGGACGCCGCTCGAGGCGGCGCGGCAGGCGAGCGCTGCGCTGGGGGGCAGCGAGCTGCTCACGGTTGCGGGCGCCGGGGTGAGTCTCTTCTCTCTCTCTCTCTCTCTCTCTCCGTGATGATCTCTTTTTTTCTTTTGGCGTTTGCAAGTATATGCTAACCTTTTGTAGCACTGCTCGACTAGCGTGCCGTCTGCCTGCGCGGCTGTGCATCTGAGGGACTACTGGGTCAACGGCACGATGCCAGCGCCTGGAAAGGTGTGCAAAGGGTCGCCGTTTGGTGTCAAGTGGGCTGATGTGCGAAAGGAGGTGGACAAGATGGGCTCATTGCACAAGAGGGAAGCTTACGACGACTTTGATGACGACGACTTTGGGCGCTCATTCATGGAGGGCCGAGATGTGATGGATTACTTCTTGGAAGCCGATATCATGGACTCGGTGCTGTGAGAAAGGGGGCCGTTTGTTGAAGTACGAGTTCTGTAATCGAGGTCACTGGTATACATGTATGTGCTGAATCTCTTATGAAAAGTGCCGTCTAAACGCCGTGGTATATGCTCTAAAAAGATCTACGCTTCAATCAATTTGGCATCCGCCAGAGACTCTTCTCCAAACACCATTTCCATCTCTAACGTTGTTGGCTTCTCGTACAGGTCAAACCCTTCCAGCGGCGGCAAACCCACTTGGTCCCTCGTCCATGCAATCCCTTTCCTCCCCTCGGGTATTTGGGCAATGGGTGAATGGATCAAAGCCTCTGACGTCTCAGCCACAAGGTCATGGCCCACGGTACTCTTGCTCATCCATGCTGTGGACCACCACACCATGGGGTCGTCGTTGGCGCGGTGCAGCAGCACGGCCCAGTACATGATGATGAACAGGGCCATGGGCTCGCGGGCGCGGAGACGGGTGGCAAAGTCGACGCCAGCGACGGTGATGAGGGAGAGGTAGTAGCACTTGAGGCGGTTGAGGCGCTCTTCAGCAAAGCAATATTTCGTCTGGCCGACGGCGAGCTGGTACTCCCAGAGCTCGTTGGCAATGGGGCCCTTGCCGGGGGTGCCGTCCGGTCCAGGCTGGCGCAGCTCGCGGACGACGGTGGAGAGGTGGTTCAGGGCGATCATGGTATCGCCGTCAATGTCGTTGACAAGGCTGAGGTCGACAGTGTACCTCTCCATGACGATGCTCGTCGAGTCAGGGCCTTGGATCATCCAGTCAAAGTTTGTCCAGGCGATGCGCGAGGCCCCGAGGATCATGTCAAATGCGATCGTGATGCGGTCGGTGCAGGTGAGTGTCTCGGTCGGTAAGGGAGGCATGGCAAAGTTGAAGAAGGCGGAGATCATGGCAAAGTAGAAGAGATAGCAAATGTTATCGGCGGTGATATCGCTGAGATTGGATCGAAAGTCGACGCTCGCCTTGTTGCTGTATTCGAGGGCCGCTCGACGGTACATACGTGCTTCGGTGGGACTCCGCTCTCGGGCGAGGTCGAGGGCGGTGATGGCGAAGATGCCATTCATGACATAGCCATGGCGAAGGCCAGCACGGGGTAGAACGACCTGGAGAAAGGGCTGGTCTTCTGGTATGGAGTAGAGAACGGCCCAGGTGCGGGTCGACCAGCGGTGCATCAGCTCGAGCTCAAGGAGGCGTTCGTTGGAGGAGATGCTGGAGAAGGCGGCGGGCGAAGGACTCAGGGATCTTGATAGTGACTGTGATGATCGGTGGCCGACGGATTGTGACGTGTCCTCAGGTCTGGAAGAGCCACGGTACGTGACGGTGACAACCGAGGGCCCTCGCGTCTTGCACGTGTCCGACTTGGGCCGGATGGAGATCTCCTTGATGGTATCACGCGCAAGGTCTTTGGCAGATTTTGGGTAGAAGCAGGTCGATGTCGTCTTGCGAATAACGCAATTGGCACACGGCGGGCCTTGTTCGTCACACTACGATCGGTCAGTACGATGTCAGGAGACCGGGGAGACTGTTTGATATTCGGACCTTGACATGTCTCTTCTTGCAATTGACACACCCACGGCGTGACTTGTTGTGTGTTTTCCTCTTTTGCATGGTGTCTTATGGCGAGGTGTACTACAGAAGAGGGGTTTGATGGCCGGCAGTGTCAAACGGGGCAAGGGGGCTCCAAAGGTCCAAAGGAGGGGGGCGATGGTGGAAGCTTTAAGGGTCTATCTGGCTCCAGGAGGAAGTGACGATCGATGGTCGAGCTCAGGTAATCACGGCGGGTGCTGCCTGTCCTGCGGCCATCTTGAAGGATCAAAAAGGAATAGGTACCGCTACATGGCTCGCGGTGTAGGGCTGAGGCGATCAGCATGTACCGCCCCTTGTGATCGTGGCAGTAGAGGTGGCAGTGCCCTGTCTGTTCTGCCCAAGGCACTTCATTACAGGCGCTTCGACGATCATCAAACCCACCAACGGCCTCTCGTGATAGGCTGCCATCCGATATGGTCTCTGTCAGCCTTTTTGCTGGGGGAAACAAGCAGCAAGTAGCAAGCAGGGGGAGCGAGGGGGAGAGCGAGAACGGAGGGGCCATCCTGGAGGAGGTGGGTGCGGGGCCTGTAGAGCGCCATCCCGGTTGGATCGGTACCACCGCACTACGCGACGAGGCACATCCGCCTCGGACGGCGAGAGGGGGGGGGGGGGCGCGGGCGGGGCGAATGGCGAACGGCGAAAGGCGAAGCGACCGAAGAACGAATGGCCTGTCTCTGTTCCTCGCTTCGGCTGCGACCTGTGTGGCCAGTGACCACCTCATGCTATCACTCGCTGACTGTGGAAATCTGCCTTTGCGACGATCGCAAAGTGCCGTGTGCGGCCTTCTAGAAGCTCTGCTCGATCGTCTCGTCAGGCAGAAGAGCTAATGTGATCCCTAGTAAAGCGTCCAGTCAGCGACATGCATTCAATTTGAGTGCTGAGACAGCCCACAACGGACCCTCGCCAATCATGAGAGGCGTCCCACGCTGGCAGTGATGATCTTTGCTGCCGAAGCATCACATATCGAGATTGGTAAGCCTGCTTTGTCTTGATGAGGGTATGGATCATGGGATGAATGCATGGTGTGATGGTCATTCTGAATGTGACCATTTCGCTGAAATCGAACTTTTGTGCGGGCAGTGGCAGAATTGCCATCGCGGTTGGTGACAGGCGTTGACAATCGGGTGCGTCTGGCTCTTGGGGGGTGGCTTCCCGACTCCTCACAGCCAACTTGAACCTTACCTGCATCTTCAACACACAACGCGGCTTTCCCCCCCCCCCGTTCTCTGCATTCTCGAACATCGTTTTATGTTCTAATATTTTCGCGGTGGAATTTTCGTTTAGCCAGAGGAAAGTCCGCCCAGAGAGCCGCGTCTGATCATACACCAAAATCCAGACGGGACCTGGATGGCATTATGTAGGTCGACATGCAGGGCGTACTCGGTTGCTCAATCAGGTTTCTGTTCTCATATTCATCCCAAGCCTTCGCACTATAGCAATCTTGAACATTACATTATGATAAAAATCGGTGACCGTCTTCGCCCCTCGGGACTCTCAGCAACTGGTGGGGGGTCCTTTGGTCTGAGAGGAACGAGGGGTGAATGGCGGATTGCAGATAGCAGGGTGTAAGCTTGGATGTCTCTCTGGTCGAACATGTGGTAGATAGCAACATAATTCTGTGCTGTCTACAGCAACCTCGTAAATCACATGCGAAACACCCACAGATACAACCAAGGCTGACTTGAGTCTACCTATACGTTACTGTACAGACCCCGTCGAGGCGGAGCAGAAAAAAGCAGGCGGGTCCGAGTCAAACACCTCCCACATCAAACATTGTTGTCCGTTTCCGAATTCCTGTTCGTCCAAACCGTAAGCCACCCAACGCCCAAAGCTATAACCAGACACCTTGCCGCAACGGAAACAGAGTGGTCCGCAGAAGGAGAGAGAGCCTCTACGACTCGCCGGCCTTGGATTCCTTGGCGGGCTCCTCGTCCACGTCCATCTTGTCCGCCGCCTCGTCCTCCTTGGGCGCTTCGTCTATCTTCTCGGCCTCGGGTGCAGCCGTCTCGGGTTCAGTCTTGGATTCGGTCTCCTTGGCGGGCTCCTCGGTGGCAGCAGCAGGAGCTTTCTCGGGCGTGGCCTTGCGTGACGCCGGCTTGCTGGTCGGTTCTGTCTCGGTGGCCGCCTCAGGCTCGACATCCTCCTTCTTGATCGTGGTCGTCTCTGCAGCATCGGCCGTGTCGTCCATGCCGACATCACCATCTCCGTCCACTGCTGGCTGGTCCTCTTTTGGCGTCGCCTCCTTCTCGGCAGCTGTCTCCTTCTCCACAGGTTCGTCCTCCTCGGCGGGCTTTTCAATGGTGACATCGGCATCCTCGATGGGTTCAGCATCAGCGGTTTCCTCGGCACTCGTTCCGTTGACAGGGGTCGGGGCGGTGCTGTTGGCCTCCTCCTCGCCCTTTGAAAAGTCGTTGAAGGCGCGCTTCTTCGCTCCACGAGGCCGCGTCATGCCGTTGGCGGCATCCATGTCTTCGTCTTCGCTCTCTTCAAATTCGGCGTCGTTCTGCACGCGCTTGTCCCAACGATCTTGGGTCATCCGGGTATCAGCGTTCTCATCCTCGTCCAGGTCGTTGAGTTCAGCCTCCTCTTCTTCCGTCATGCCGCCGAAGGGTTGACGGGGCACATCTTGCATCTGGACAGAGGGAGCGGGGGCTGTGTGTCGGAGGTTGTCGATGAGGGCGGCCTTGACCTTCTCGAGATACTCTGTGCTATTGGAGTTCTCCATGTTGGAAGGCCGAACATCGAGATCGAAATCGGGGGCGTAGTACTGCATACGTTAGCAATGAAGTCCAGGTAAGGGTAGATATTCTACTCACTTCGTAATATTCATTGTACGGGAGCTGGCGCTCCATGTGCTGACCAACCAGTACACCGGTCTCAAAGGCCCACGTGCGGGCAACGTTGCGCATGGTGTAGCCACCGCCGCCGAGAACCAGAGTAGGAAGGCCGAAACTCTTGACGTACGAGACGCAGTTGGCATGCCCCTCCATGCTGAGATTGAAGCAACCCAACCGATCGCCTGAAAGACTGTCGCCACCGCACTGAAGGACAACAGCCTCGGGCTGGTAGAACTTCATGACGTGCTCGATGACAGGCTCGAAGATCGACTTGTACGACTGATCGTTGATGCCGTCACGCAGGGGAAAGTTGACCGAGTAGTATTTGCCCGGGCCGATACCAATGTCGCGGAGCTCGCCGGTGCCGGGGAAGTACTCGCCGTACTTGTGGAAGGAAACCGTCATGACGCGGTCGGTCGTGTAAAAGGCCTCCTCGACACCGTCACCGTGGTGAACATCAATGTCGATGTATAGAACGCGCTTCATAAAACGCAGGAGCTCGATGATGCCTAGCACAATGTCTGATTGTCATGTCAGCACGCTGGAAAGAGAAACGAGCCGAAGGCGCAGAGTTTACCATTGACGTAGCAGAAGCCGCTACCCTCGCTTTTCTTGGCGTGGTGCAGGCCACCGGCCCAGTTGATGGCGACGTCGCACTTTTGGCGGTTGAGGCGCGCAGCGCCCTCCATGCTGCCGCCAGCGCTGATGCCGCAGAATTCGAAGAGACCGTCGAACACGGGACAATCGTCGCCGACGTTGAACTTGCTCTGCTCCTTTTGGTACTGATCCATATTGTCGGGCGTGACCTTTTGGAGAAAGTCGATGTACTCGTCCGTGTGGAACTGCGTCATCTCGCCGCGGGTGGCCGGCTTCGCGCGCTGCACAGAGGCTGGTCAGCTAAAGTCTTGCGCCATAGATGCAGAGCCAACTTACGTAGATCTCCATCTTCTTGAACAAGTTGTAATGCATGATCAAACTGTGAGCAAGCCTAATGCGATGGGGCTTCATGGGATGGCCGGTCGGGTAGGCGTAATTTCCAATGTCGGAATCGTAAAAGTAGGCGACCTTCTTGGTCGACGAGGCCGTCGACCCATTGAGGGCCACAGAGCCTAAGGGAGACATGTTGATGTTTGTGTCGTTGACGAGAACGGCGCCTCTGCTGAGAAAAGGTCAGCTTGGGGATGCGCCGTAGAACGAACCGAATTGACGGAAAGGAGGGACAACAACGGGGGAGACAAGGTCGAAGCGCGAACAAAGGGTTCGCAGACATGATCAACAGTGCCTAGGGACCTTGATGAATAAATTTTTGGGTTTATGAACCTACTGTGAAGCTACCACCGACTTCTGCGCGACAGGACCCTCGTTTGGGGGTATCAGGGCAGTATTGAAGGAAGCTCGCTGCGAGAGAGCATCGAGGTCTTCTGGGTTTGTTGGTCGCAGGTATTCGATGCGATGCGTAGCCGTCCGGTGGGCCAGATGAGGCTGGCCAATGGCCAGGGAAATGGAAGGCTCGGCCCAGGTGTGGCTCAGACTGGGGCTGGGAATGGCACTGGTACTAGTCGTGTTGGCTTGGTCATCACAGGCTTTGGCCTGTTGTTTGGCTTTGTTGTGCCAGGGCTGTACGCTAACAAGATATCGAACAGCGTCTGTATGGAGCCTAGCGCCAGAGTCAGGCGAGAGGCGATCAATGTCGCCTGCGTGTCGTTGTGGCCTCATGGCTGTGGTAGCTCATGGAGCTCGAAGCTTGCCAGACTTGCTTTACATCAGAAGTTGCATGGAGATGTTCTCTTTCTGATATACAGCAGAAAAGATCTCATGTCTTTTGATAGGCTCTAGCTCAGTCTGGAATTTTGAGGGACTTCGTAATGAAAGAGGTAGCCAGTTGCCTGTCTGGCTATCAAATGCCTTCTACTGAAGACAGGGTGTGGTGGGGTCTTCACCGAGATGCTGGGTGATGAAGGGCCTCCCTGACAAAGCTGAACTGTTTTCCAATACTAACTTCCTGTCCCCAGTGCGGGATACCCTAGTCCCCAAAGATTTCACGGCAAGCCTTGAAATTTGCTGTCCATTGACGACTTCATTCACTCCATCCTCTTGACAATTCGCAAGCTGGCCGTGATACTTGCCCCGCTAAGCTCCGCCTTGTGACGCCACACCTTCAGCCACACACAGCTTAGCTCACCGCCCCGGTTTTCGCCAGGCTGCTCGAGCTGGCGTCAACATCGTCTTGCCTCAGCACCGTCACCAACGCCAGGGCCCCAAGAGCTTCCATCACCCTCCATCCCTCGCCCTCGTCGACTTCACCACCACAAAGCCCGATCCTCCACGATAACCTGACGATACAACCACCCGTACACATTCCCACGAAATCTAGTACAACCTCGCCGTACATTCGCTATGGATCGCTTCAGGAGTATGCTCCAGTCTGGTGGCATGGGAGGCCTGGGCTCCCAACCCGGAAGTGTAAGAGCTCGCCGCTGCCATGACAATGCAAACTCGTGGCTTATGTCGCTAGTCTTACTGACATATGCGCCCCAGGATAACACACAGCTTATCGACAACTCCGAGACCGTCTATATCTCCTCACTCGCCCTCCTTAAGATGCTCCGTCACGGTCGCGCCGGTGTCCCCATGGAAGTCATGGGCCTGATGCTAGGCGAGTTCGTCGATGATTTCACAGTGCGCGTTGTGGACGTCTTCGCCATGCCGCAAAGCGGTACCGGTGTCTCCGTCGAGGCGGTCGACCCCGTATTCCAGATGAAGATGATGGACATGCTGCGACAAACGGGAAGGTAAGAGCCACCAAATGCGCTTGTGCCCCCGTCGAAGCCCCCCCGCTCACATCACCATGCAGGCCCGAATCCGTTGTTGGCTGGTACCACTCTCACCCCGGCTTTGGCTGCTGGCTCTCCTCCGTCGATATCAACACGCAGCAGTCGTTTGAGCAGCTTACTCCGCGCGCCGTCGCCGTCGTCGTCGATCCTATCCAGTCCGTCAAGGGCAAGGTCGTCATTGACGCCTTCCGCCTCATCAACCCTCAGTCTCTGATGCTCGGCCAAGAGCCACGCCAGAGCACGAGCAACCTGGGACACCTTAACAAGCCCTCGATCCAAGCCCTCATCCACGGCCTCAACAGGCACTACTACTCGATCGGCATCAACTACCGCAAGACGGCTTTGGAAGAGAACATGCTCATGAACCTGCACAAGCACGTCTGGACTGAGGCGCTGCAGATGGACGACTTCAGGGTGGAGGGCTGCAACAACAAGGACAGGCTGGAGCAGCTCGTCAGCTTGGCCGAGGGCTACCAGAAGCGCGTCAAGGAGGAGACCGAGTTGACTAAGGACCAGCTCAAGACTCGCTACGTCGGCAAGCTCGACCCGAAGAAGCACTTGGAGGATGTCGGCCAGCAGATTATTGAGGACAACATTGTCTCGGTCAACCGCCAGATGATCGACAAGGAGGCTACGTTGCCGAGACCTAGCGAGGCCGGCGCGAGCGGACGGTCGGCAGAGGATCGTATGGACGTGGAGGAGGAGCTGTAGACGGGGTCCGGGGGCTGATTCATGACATAGACATGCCTTCTCGACGAGATACCAGGACTCTGCCTACTGTATGATTAGGCGTTGGGGTGGGCTGGACAGCACGGGGTAGAAAACCATGGAATGGAGTCCCCGCCATGCATGTACAGGTATCAAGGTAGCTTTCAGAAGACTGATAGGCTGCTTTTCCACAACGCGTCAAGGACTCAACGATGTGTGTTCAGGCAAAGGTTGAACAAAGAGAACGGCTAGTATCCGTCGCAGAACACCCTGGTGTGGCCCGTTTACAGTCTTTGTTCCCTTCGAAGAGCCTCACTGGCACACGGCATTGCCTGTCAGACAAGGTCCTGTTCGCAGTGTAAGTCTTCACAAGCGGTCTGTTTGGCACGGTGCGATGAGCGTAAATACGTCTCATTCGCAGGCAAGTCTTCTTCATGCCGTCTCCCCAAAGAACATTCGCCTCTCTTCTTAGAGCATACTCGATCAATACTTGCAGAGTAAGGCAGTGACCAGCATCAGCCGCACGCTATGAAAACCTCTTTCGTGAAGCGACTGTCTTCCTGGTTCCTCCAGCTCTGTGATAGCAAGTCAACCTCTTCCCAACAGACACGCAGCCGACCTGCTAACCTCGTTATCTCTAGCCCGATCCTGATATCCGCCTCTTCGGGCCCCTGGACTCCCCAAGGCATTCACCCAAGGCCTGCCCCAATTTTTTCAGCTGGCGCTGGAAGTCTCAGGGTCACTGTACCACTTCGACCTTCACGGGCCGCACCTCCTGTTCCTGTTCACACGAAAGCCTACCTCGATAAACCCCTCCCTCGCCTGCCCAGCACATGTGGTCGCTGCCTCATGCCGTTCTCAACGGAGGGAATGCCTTCTACTGTCCTTGATGAGCTGCTCCATCGCCTCGGTCGGCTCTTAAGCCACGTCTCCTACAGCGTTCGAGGTCTCGCTGCTCTCTCCTTCTACGGCCTGACCACACGCCTCCCCTCGCAGGTCAGTATTTCCTGCCCTCTGTATGCCCGTGACGTGGTTAAATGCTGGGCTGCCGCCCAAGGCATGATCGTTCATCCTTCGTTTCCAGACGCCTTTGGCGTGCCTCTTTCAGATGGATCCGTCCGCAAAGTGAGGCTGCAATTCGTCGATGCCGGCGCACCACTCGACTGGATCGCCATGGGACCGGCAGGAACGCGCATCGCAAGCATGCCGGCGCTGCTAGACACTTTGGCAGAAAGATACATGGACCCAAGGGTCCCTGCGAGGGCCGTGAGCACCCTTGGCAGGGACATTTTCTGGCTGTTGCAGAGGATGGCCGAAGACACAACTCCGGAGCAGATGGTCACGGTGGAGAGGGTGCCAAATGTACTGAAGGCCGATTTTTGGAGTTTGTTCACCTTCACGCATTTTGGCGCGGATCAGCTCCTATACGATGCTGGCTTCGGGAAGCTCATTGCCGAGCTTGACAGGCCTGTGAGTGAGACTCATGATTCACTGCTCGATGAGAGTCAGATTGGCATTGACGGCGACCCTGAACATTGGTATGATGACGTGGACGCAGGGCTGGTCGAGTCGATGATCGGCTCAGGGCGCCCTGTTCTGCCTTTGCGTCGCAAGAACTCCCGATACTTTGAGAGGTTGTCGGGCACGCGGCCTGCAACTGTTGAGCTGGCGTTTGTCGAGTCGCCCAGCTTGTCAACTCGCGATCATCAGTCGCCGATCAGTGCCGCTGAGCTAGACCAGATGGCAGAGCAGGGCATCATGTTCTGCCCGGTGGATCAGAGGAACTGGTGAGTCGATTCGAAGGCCAACTTCCATGTTTTTCCTTCTGTCCATCTACCTACCATGAGGTACCTTACTGTAGCCGATCTAGGCCGTCTCCTTTGTCCTGTTATGCGGTCCTGAACAAGCCTCAACCTGCGGTGTTCGTTTGCCATGGCTGGTCCGTGACTTATGACTAATTGTTCTAAATTGTAGATCTTACCTTCGAAATTGAACATGATCGCACACATAGTCAATGTCGTGACAGCAACGAGCCATACCGTCACATTTGACAGTCGCTCATTTCCAAACGGACGGGACCATCACCAAAGTCACCATGGCTCATCCCGTCTTTAATCATTAACCTGCATGACCCTAAACCATGTCAGTCCCAGGTCGTCACATCGCACGGGCTGCCTCGTCTAGCATCACAGGGTATGCAATGCCTGATTGGTCGACATGCACCTCGTGAACCAACCGCGACCTCCTGTGTTGGTCGCTGGCCTTGGCGGTCCTGAGTTCGAGCACTCCTGACCTGGTATGCCGCGTGAACCAGAGCGGTTTATCAACCCAGCAGTCCCCAAAATGGGGCATCCGGTGTTCCTCAGTTCTTTCCAAAATAGCCTCCCGCCATGCTCGCACAAGTGACACCACCCCCAGTCGTGGGTGCGAGGCAAGTCACTGCCGGGGAAACGAGGGCAATTACACGGAAGATCACAGGCCCACCGCGGACCCTGACATCTCAAGATTGCGCCGTTACCTCGAGAGGGTACTGCGAAAAATGGGCAGTTGCCCTCTACACGAGATGGACGGCGCCGTCAGGTTGTCCAACGATTGTCACGCCGTCGCCGGATCTGACGTACTTTGAAGAATGCGGGCTTCCCAACCACATGCCCGTTTTCGTGAACGGAGGATACTACTCGCCGGGAATATGCCCGGAAAGCTACTCCATCGGCTGCCTGGCGGGTCCCATTGACGCGCAGGTCAATGGCGAACCCGTTGACGAGAACGAGACTGTGGGATTTTGTGTTCCAACGTTAGTCACGTTCACCTCTCGATAACCGCGATCAAAAAACTGATAAACAGGCACACATCTGCAGGAGCTATCGATGTGTCTCAAGTAACGGTGGCACGTATCATGCGACTCGATCAAGGTCCACAGCGTTGGCGTACCAGATTCGCTGGCAGTCCAGCGACCTCATCAACCTTCCGGAGCATCCCATGGCGGGATCCAACTTCGACCCCAACATCGAGACCATAACCACACCAGAGATAGAGTCCTTGTCCACGTCGGAGACTTCGTTGTCGTCCGGTTCCTCATCTCAGCCATCGCCCTCGAACTCCCAGCCAACACGTTCGCCCTTGCAATCCGCAGAGGGCGACGCAGCTCAAAGGCCTCCTGTTCTTATCATCGTTCCCGTGGTCATTGGTACCATCATCCTTCTCGCACTCGTGGGTTTCTTCTGGTTTTGGAAGGTCCGCCGCCGGCGCCGAAGACGTGAACAGGAAGGCCAGCAAATAAGCGAGGCAACCGGCGGCCGCATTGAAGGAGGGGATTGGAATGGCCAAGGTCCTGGCCCTGGGCTCGCAGAACTCCCAGCCATCTCAAAACCGGTAGAAAAGGACGATGATAGCTTTTTCGTCAGGCCGCCAGTTGAGATGGACGCTACGCAAACCGCAATGCCGAGTGACGCGCCACCAGTGCACTCGCCTGACCAGTCGAAAGTTGCGAGAGACTGCGCGCTCGATACAGTCTCTCCGTTGTCCGAGCTACGGCTGGGAATCGGGTACGAGCTGGACGACGGAGATCGGGGTATGTCCACTGTGACGCCTTCTGTAACAAAACGAGAGAGTGGCGATGCCTGGGAGCGGCAGGAGCTGATACGAAGACAGTGTGAGTTGGAGGAGCGGAGAGCAAGGCTGGAAGAGCTTGAAGCCATCGAGAAGGAGCAAGCAGCGATTCGGCGGAGGTTGTCGGCGCTGTGAGGGGCAGCACAGGGTCTTTTGATAAGAAATTGAATGGTGATACAGGCGGGGTCACCACACCCTGACAACCTAGCTCGGGATTTCATCCAGAGCTTAACCGAGGACGTACATACAAAGATACAAGGAGAAAGGACGGAATCGAGACGAAGGATAATGTGGATCAGGAAATGTTGCATTTCAGAAGCTAATATTTGCAACAATTTGGCCCATTGCATGTAGTTTCCGCCGGCCTTCGTGACTGGAGATAAATCAGAACTACCATACAGTCCCCATACAGCCCGTCAGGCTTCTACACCATAAACAGACAACGTCCGCTGACATGGTGAATACATCTAATCAGCGATCACGGCATCATCCTTCATGTCTGGCACCCACCCCTTCGGCCTCTCAGACCCACGTATCGCAATTCCGTACCCCAGCTTCTCCACCTTGTGCACCGACTGTCTCATGGCCTCCATCTTGTTTTTGTACGTCCGGTCGTGAATCTCAGGTAGTATCTCAAACGCCGAGCTCAATTCGTGAAAGTCCATCAGGATATCTCGCTTGCCTTCGTCCTGGCCCGCCAACCGTCCTTTCTGTGCCGTAGTCACGGTCGCGAACCGCATCATCTCGCCAAAGAGGTCGAAGATGCCGTAGAGATAGTCGTCCTCGGTCAGCTCAATAGCAGCCGGCACAGCAGCGCCAGCCTCCTCCATGGTGATGAGGGTTTGGTGTTGTAGATAATGCGCAAAGGAGAGAGCCTCGACGAGCTCCTCGAGGCCGCGGAGGGTGGAGGCGTAGCGGTGGCGGTTGAGAGGGGTCAGGTGTGGCTCTAGGGGTGTAAGAAGGTCCTTGATCTCGGACATGCGGGTATCGATCTCGTCCTGAGTACGTTTGGGCAAATCGCCTAGATTGTTCACCCTGTGAACTGTGAGTCGTATTGAAAAGAAGGGGTTGTAAGTGAAAGACGGCGTACCTCTGGCAAGCGAAAATTCTATCACATGTCAGCTTGAGGACAGAGTATTCTCATCCAAGGGGCTTTACATCTTCTTGCTCAGGGCAGTGACATCCCGGGACGCCTTGACGATGCGCTCCTTGCGATCATGGTGCTCATCAAGCTCATTGCGAAACTCCATGAACATGGGCGTGAAGCGTGACTCGGCGATGGCGGGGCCCGGCTTGCCACCGTCCTTGGGCCGCATGTTGCCGTCACGATCTCTCTTAGACATGTCGACGATACTGAGGCGGTCAGAAAGCTTGATCTTGATGATGTCTTGACGTCAAAGAGGACATTTCAAGCGAGGCCCCGTCAGTGAGCCTCTCGTGCTGTGGAGTTTGACGTTCAGTGTGGGGCAGTAATGATCAGCCTGCAGCTGCAAGGGCGACGATGTACATGTGCTGCTGACTCATCAAGTGAACACGACGCGGTTGTCGAGTCTCGGTATCGCAGGACGTCGAAGGACAGACAGACAAACTCCACGATCGACAAATTTCAATTCGTGGTACATAATGCCATTGGCTTGGCAATTCGAATGAGAAACAGCCATTCAGGAGTAGTCCAAGTCGGAGCCGTCGCACCGTCATTCACCATGGCCTCTCTCTTCCGGCCTCTCCCCCTTTTTACAGCCGCCGCTCTCCTCCGCGCCGCGCTGCTCGTCTACGGTCTCTGGCAAGACGCCAACTCGCCCTTCAAGTACACAGACATTGATTATCTTGTCTTCACCGACGCTGCCCGCTTCACTCAGCGCGGCGCCTCCCCTTACGACCGCGAGACCTACCGGTACACACCTCTTCTCGCATGGCTACTCCTTCCTACCGCCTGGAATGAAACCCTCGGTCCGGCTTGGTTCTCATTCGGAAAGGTGATCTTTGCTGCTGCGGATCTCTTGGCAGGATGGCTGATCGTGCGCGTTCTCCGCGGCACTCATGGCATGGAGGAGGCGAGAGCGCTCAAGTTTGCCAGCATTTGGCTGTTGAACCCCATGGTTGCCACGATCAGCACGCGCGGGAGTTCTGAAGGTCTCTTGGGTGTCCTCGTGATGGCTCTTTTGTGGGCGGTGCTGGGGAGGAGAACTGCGCTGGCTGGCGTGTTGCTCGGCTTTGGCGTGCATTTCAAAATTTACCCCTTCATCTATGCACCGGCCATCATTTGGTGGATGGATGACGAGAATCTGGGCCGAGCCAAGAAGCCTGTCTCTGGACAGTCTGTTTCTGATGTGGCCCGGCGTTTCTTCAGTCCACAGCGGGTAAAATTGACCATCATCAGCTTGGCTACGTTCATGGGCTTGAACATCCTGATGTACTCCATGTAAGCTCTCGACGCTCTGACGAGGATGAGCCACAACTGACAGGTCGCAGATATGGCAGTCCGTTTCTGGTGCACACGTTTTTCCACCACGTCACGCGGATCGACCACCGTCACAACTTCAGCCCTTACAACATCCTACTCTACCTGACTTCAGCCTTTCCCTCCACCTCTTCCCTGCAGATCGAGTCCGTGGCTTTCCTGCCGCAAATTCTTCTGTCAACCATTCTGATCCCTGTGGTCGTTGCGAAGAAGGATCTTGCGGCGTCCATGATGGCGCAGACGTTCGCCTTTGTGACCTTCAACAAGGTCTGCACAAGCCAGGTATGTCACGATCGCCACAATGCGCCCCGAGGCCTTGCTAACCTGCGGCAGTACTTTTTGTGGTACATGGTCTTCCTGCCCATCTACCTTCCCAACTCTTCTTTCCTCAAGAACCCTGCGCTAGGCGTGTCGGCACTGGCTCTCTGGGTCGTCACCCAAGGAGCGTGGCTTCAGCAGGGATTCCAGCTGGAATTCAACGGCGTCAGCACGTTCTTCCCTGGCTTATGGGCCTCTACCGTGGGATTCTTCCTCGTGAACTGCTGGATTTTGGGCATCATGATTAGTGACGGAGCTCAGGCGGTTCCTCTACTGCAGGCCAAGGTGGCCAAGGCGCCCAAGTTGACGACGTAGAACGTGAAATGCATGGTGACCGAATCGCCGTATCAGAATAAAATCATTAGACTTCCCGCTCGAATGATGAGCTCATTGAATCGCTCAACTGATGGTTGTGTTCGAGTGCCCCCCTTGCACGACAGTGAGCTCCGCTAAACACGTGAACAGGCGTCAGTTTCCTGCTGACGCCAAACACGACCGCGACCCTCCACTTCCCCACCAATCGCACGATCAGCGTAACACGAAGCGCAACACGTCACTGGCCCTACCGCTGGAAATCCCACTGCGCATCATTTTGCGGCGCACTTGGGTTGCCCATCATGTGGCTCTTGGAGCAGGAAAATGTCTTCGAGGGTATGGTGTCCAGCTGAAACCCCCAAAGTACGACGGGAGTGGACCCGACTGACAATCGCGCAAACAGGCCGACAGCTCTGGCTTCGCCCCGGCAAGCTCTACCTCTTTGGCCGCACAGCCTCGGAACGTAAGCACGAGGATTCGGTATGGATCGATAGTGACTGATGTGCGATGCAGCGGGCCAGCTTGCCATCTCCCACAAGACCATCTCCCGGAAGCACATGACCATCAAAATCGAGCCGGTAGCCGATGGCCGCAGCGTACGTCGAGGCATGCCTGCGCACGCGCGTCGTAGCCAGTCACTCACAGAGTTCAATAGTCAAGTATCTCGAAGCGATCCACTGTAACGATTGAAGATCTCGCGACGAAGACGGGCACAACGATCGACGGCGAGAAGTACAAGGGAGAGAAGCATGTCGTCTCCGACAATGTCGCGGAGATCAAGCTGGGAGGCTGCCCTGACATTTTCCGGTAGGGCCCCGCTCAGCTGCCGATCAAGGAACAGAACGTTGCTGACGGCACGGAAACAGGCTCTCGTGGCACCCTGTTGTGCTGAGCTTCAGCTTCACGAGCCGCGAAATGCGAGAAGACCCCGCCCGCCGACTCCGCGACATGCTCGAACAGCTCGACATCAAATTCACATTTGACTACAACATCCAACACACGACACATGTGGTGGCGAAGAAGAGGAATACGTCCAAGGGGCTGCAGGCGCTCATCAACGGCCGGTACATCGTCACCGACTCGTTCGTCGACGCCATCGTGGCGGCTGCGCTGCCGCCCGACGGGGCCGAAGCAACAGAGGCGTCGGCTCTGGAGCAAGACTTTCAGGCCTCCTGGCCAAACCCTCTCGAGCACCTCCCGCCTCGCGGCGGCGAGCCTGTGGAACGGCCGCCGGATGCGTATGCTCCGGATGAAGCGCGGAAAGAGATCTTTGAGGGTTACACATTCATCTTCTACGACAGAAACCAGTATGACAATCTCCTGGCGCCGATCACCAATGGCGGCGGCAAGGCGCTGCACACCGAGGTCACCCCCGAAAAGACAACCGTGGACGACTTTGTGCTGTTTGTCAAGACGGAGGCGGGCGAGAAGGGCCTTGGGTCTTTCGAGGACGGGAGCGAAGGACGCGGCGTGGTCGTCGTCCGCTTCACCCCTGATAAGGGTGACGACACTGAATGGTACGCGTCGTTTTTCTATGAGACATCGCTGCGGCTGGACCACCGCCCCATTGAACAAAATGAGTTTCTCGAGGCTATCCTCGCCAAGGATGCCAGCATATTACGGAGGCCTCTGCAGACCGAAACAGTCCAGGACAGCCCGCCCAGAGCAGCGCGGAAACAAGCAGCGACTAGAGGCGGCGATGCCATGGAGATGGATTCTGCGCCAGCCCCAGATGCACAATCACAGGACGTCTCGGAGTCTTCGATACCTGGCCCACGACGTGGCCGCACGAGACGACAAGCGACTCGACGGTTTGCAGGGTTCGATGATGACTCTGATGACGACGATAAGGGCAATGTGCCACAGGCTTCCACACCAAACACACGAGCCAGCGGGCCTGCCGAGGAAGCAGAAGACGAAGACGAAGAAGAAGGTCTTTTCGTGTCCCAAGACCGCCGGGACGAAGCGCCCGCCACCAGATCGCAGCGCAAGCGGCCAGCGCCCGACTCAGCAGACCTCATGGACGGCCTCATCCCCACAGCAGCAGCCGCCAAGCGCCGGCGCATCGAAGCCGGCGAGGACCCGATCCGACAGCAGTCGCCCGACGAACCCGAGGAGCCAGCGCAGCCAAAGCCGGCACCGAAAAGGGTCAAGAGGGAGATCGACGTCCTGGAGGAAGCACGCAAGCGCCGCGAGGAAATGGAGGCCCGCGCCAAAGCGGAGCGCGACGACCTCGCCAATGTGCCCTCGGACATTGATCTCGACGCCATCCGCCGCCTCCACATCGTGGAAGAGATGGGGCTGCGGAAACCGGGTGGTGAGCGCACGCGCGAGCAGGACGTTGCCGACGGACGGTGGGACCCGCGCTGGAACGGGCGGCGCAACTTCAAGCGGTTCCAGAAACGAGGCGCCGCGCAGGGCAGGGCGGTCATGAAGGTCATTGTGCAGGTGTCGGAGGTTAAGAAGAAGGACTTCGGCATCGGGGACGACTACTGGCTCGAGGATGACACGCAGCAGAAGAAGAAGAGCGGCGGCAGCCAGTCGCAGGAGGCCAAGTCTGAGCCCTCCTCGAGGGCGACCGGCTCGCTGAGGGCGACAGGCTCGCTGAGGGCGCGGGCATCGCAGATTGTGCTGTCGGACGACAGCGATGAAGAAGAGGCCATCGAGGAGACGCTGGCTGAGGCTGCGCCGGTGACGCGCATCAGGGGCACCAGAAGCACGGCGACCGAGTCGCAGAGTACGGGGCCGACGTCGAGCCGCAGCCAGGCGACTGGGCGTACGACTCAGGGGAAGAGGCCTGCCGCGGAGGCGTCGAGTGAACCGCCGGCCAAGAGGCCACGGCCTGTGCGACAGATTGTCGAGGTTCGCGATAGCGACGAGAGCGACGACGAGCTGAAGTTTAAGTTTGGCCGACGGCGGTAGGGGCATAAGTGCATGGTATATGCTGGACCTTCTTCCACGCGTCTATTCGGGTATCTCTCTATAGTCCGCCTAATGAAGTCATGAAAACCGGGGGCGTCTCTCTTGCCCACTGTCTGTCTTGCGTATGTTCATAACGAAAACGCTTCCACCACGCCAAACGTGTCAGTGTAACTTGGTTCACACGCAACACTTAGTCCATCTGATCCATCTCGCTCTCCTTCTCAGCCTCCTCTTCCGGCACCAGCACGCCCACAAGACAAGCCGACAGCATCGTCTCGTAATTGACCCAAGGATGAACTTCTCCAAACAACTTCGTCGCCTCCCTGCCGGCTCCACGCATCAGCTCCGGCACGCCGCCGGGGTGATACGCGGCGTAGGGTGTCACGTTGTAGACCCGCCCGCCGAGGGCCATCCACGCGTCTTTGCCCTTGCGGCCCGTCTGCTTCTTCAACATGGACGGCGTCACCTTGAGGTAGGGCGTGTTGGCGGGCAGGTTGCGCAGGTCGCAGGCCGGGCCGGAGATGCGGGCCCAGTCGAGCGGGGAGTGGCCCGGCGTCAGGAGGACCTTGCGCGAGGGCTTCTGGGGCGCCTGGGAGTGTGTCGGAGGGGGCGCGAGCGAGGACGAGGGGCCGGGGCCGCGGTTGGGGGTCGGCCCGCGGGCGCGCTGGGGGGAGTTGGCGCCGAGGAAGGAGGAGGACGATGAGAGGGGGTTGAGGCGGGGTGGGATGGCGCGCGAGGGGGCCGGTGGTGGTGGCATCGAGAAGGTGGGTTTCGGAACCGCTGGCGGCGGCATCGAGAGTGAAGGTTGTGCCGGGGCATCGTCGGCGGACAGGGAGAAGGAAGGGACGGCGACTGAGTTTGGTGTCGCCGTGGCCTTTGGTGTCGTTTGCTCGACTTCGGCGTCTGTGTCTGGTGCCGAGATCTCAAAAGCTGGTGCAGCCACGGCGGGCGTATTGGTGATTTTGGGTATTGTCGGCGGTGGGGGCATGGCTGCCCGGTCTGACTCCTCGATGCTCTCTTTTACAGCATTCCTTGGCTTGTCATTGTCGGGTGCCCTACGTTTCGAGGCGTCACCTCCCGTCAAAGCGGGTGGTGGACGAGATGTGAGGAGAAATGGCGGCAGGTAAGGATGAATCCATGGCGGCTGTGCAACGAGGACCCAGACGACTGAGGCCACAATGAGAGTGTAACCGACATAGCCCATTTTCCAAGGGAGGAGCAGCGCTGCAAACGCGCGCGAGTGGAGGGAGTGCTGGCGATGCAAGGCTGTCGTGATGTGGTCAGTTGTAGTATGATGGCAAATCGAAGCCAACCTCGATATCGATGTTGGATGCATACAGACGAGGGGCATTAGGGGCATTACTCAGCCGTGGGAAGCGTGGGGCACTAGCGAGGCACTGAACCGTAGGGGTCCTTGCGCCGTGGACGCCGTCCTGCCTTGCCTTGCTTGCCTCGCCTTGCCTTGCCTGGGTGTGGGCCCAGGTTCGATCTCTGGGTACCTACCTACCTAGGTAAGGTATCTTGGGTATATCTCGTGCCCATGTTCAATAGCCCCACCACAGCATAGTGCAAATGACGGAAGGGAGGGAATCCTTGTTGTGCAGCAGCGACGCATGAATAACATTGGCAAATGGAGATGAATTCCCGAGTGAGGGGTCCAGAAGTGACGTGGAGAGCCACTCAGAGGTGGGAACCAAAATGTTTTCTTTGGGCTTGTTTACTTTTCGGGGCGTGGATGCGAGGAAACAATGCGGAACCGTTGGAGTTGTCCAAGACCCTGGAGAAGAAATCATAACCCCATTGTCGTCGCTGTCGCTCGCGAGCTTCATGTTCTGTTCTCTGTTCACTGATCTCCTGCCTATGCAGCCACTGTACAATTGCACACCAGTGCCCGCCAAGGTACCTACCTACCTGACTTACTTGCCTTATCCCACCCGCCGGTGCACCGATCTCAGTGCATCCGCCAGTGCAGAACGCGCCAAGGGACCACTAAATTACAGCGACTCAGCGGGCTCTCCCGGCAACGCGGGCCAGTCAGGTGCCAGCGGCCGGACCACCCAGAATCGCAAGGCGGCCATCCAGCCAGCCAGCCCCCAAAAGGCCTGGAGGAAAGTGTGACCTGACGCCGACGAACGAGAAAGCACAGAGACAGAGAGAGCGAGATCCATCCCGTCCAGTGACTCCAACCCGGTTGGGCTTCTGTCCTGCTCAACATGCGGTCACTCAACACCAACTCGACATCGGCATCGCATTCGAGAGATCCATCGCCGGCACGTTCGTCCGATCTACTGCGCACGCGTCGATCCTTCCTTCCCAGCAAACAGACACCCACAGCCACCCGAAAGCCTTCAACGACCACCGCCCTGAGACCGCGCATCACCCCCCGAACCAGCACCGCCAGCCTGCCCACCAGCCTGTCCACCACCACCTCCTCCTCCTCCGCACCCAAAACAACAACAACAACACCACCAACCCCGAGGCGGCAGCAATCGACTGCCCGACAACCGACACTCTCGTCCACCCTGCGCCAGCCGCTCCGGAAGCTGTCCCACAATGCACTGAACACGACGCCTGTCGTCCGCCCCTCCATCGCTCCCAAGCTAAAGTCTTTGAGCGACATGCCGCCACCCCACGATCAAAAGGGAGCCCACGCAGCCCCCCGCCAGCCCGTCCTCAGCGCCTCGGCCGCCAAGGCCATGGGCAGAGCACCATTGACCCCCAAGATTGCCAGCAAGGCACAACAGCATCACCAGCAGCCGCCCGTCGTCACACCTCTCGCCCGCCGAAAAACAGACCTCGGCCATGGGTCCGCCGCCTCAGGGGCAAGTGGGGGCCCTGGTGGTGGTGGTGGTGTCAAGGACGACATCACGAGCCCCGTGTCGGCATTCCTGAGCCACAACATCACGCCACGGTCGGGAAGCAGGCAGACCCGCGTCGACAGCGCCAGCAGCACGCCGACCGGTACGCCGAATCCAGAACGAAACAGCGATTGGGATACTCGGTCGGCCTTTGCGTCGGCCTTTGACGGCGACATGAGCAGGAAACACGTCGTGACATTCAGCCCGCCATCTGATGTTGGCAGCCGGAATGATCCCTCCGACTCCAAGTTCTTCTATGCCAGCGATGCAAAGCCTGCTTCTTCTCAACCCTCTCTCCTCAAGACGCAGCAGCAACAACAGCAACAACAGCAGCAGCAGCAACAACCCATCAAGGCGCCGACTTTTATTTATGCAAATGGCAGCGCCATCGAGAGGAATCGGCCCACGTCGCCCAGCGTCGTCCCAGGCTTCACACCAGTGCTGGCACCGATGCAGGAGGCACAGGCAAGCAAGTTCTTCTACGCCAACGGCGCTCCAGATTTCCAACCTGCCTATCGACCCGCTTCCGCCGCCGGCTCAACCGTATCATCGAGCTCCAAAATGAACGCCCCCAGAGCAGCACCGACAATCGCTACCGGTGGCTTTGCTGCTACGAGCCGGCCCACGTCACCCAATAAACAAACCCAACCGATACCACCGCCACTGGCCAGGACGGCCACTTTATCGCCACAACCAGCGAGTCGGCCGCAGATGGCCAGCCCGCCGACGCTCGCCGCACAGCCAGCTGCGAAACGAAGGGTCAGCATCGAAGTCCCGCCGCAGCATGGCTCTCATTCTAGAAACGGCAGCGTCAGCTCGGGCGACGCCATCATCATGTCGAGGTTCATGGCCTCGCACCCCTCTTCCGAGCTCTCGTCCCCGACCTCTGCGCCCAACAATCCCGCCGTGACTATGGCATCTATTATACAAGCTGCCGAGGACCTCACCGAGTCGGATGATTCCAAAGGTCATAGTGAGCTCCAGAGCCCAACAAAGTCGACACACTCAGGTGACCCTCTCAACGATCTCGTCGCCCATGCCCGCCGGGAACGAAAGGTGCAAGACCTGGAGATCACCAACGCATCTCTCGAGGCCATCAACAGATCATTAGAGCGTCAACTTCGTAAACAGACTGCCGAGCTAAGACGGTACCGCAGACTGTCGCGCTCTGGCCGCCTGTCCCTGACATCTATGGCTTCTAGCCGCGTTCCGTCCGACTCGACGGTGGGTACGGCGGTCGGGATGGAAGGTGCTCTCGAGCTATCCGACCTCAGCGAGGATGAAGGCGAGGACGAAGAAGAGGAGGATGACGACCTCGGGTCGTTGTATGACACGGACCCCTCCGACAGCGAATCCATCTCCAGCCCAGGCCTCAAAGCCGCTGACCGCCGCCGCAAGCGAGATGAGCGGCGCCTCCAGCTCGACCTAACCAAGCATCGTGAGCTCCTCGTTGACAGCCAAAAGATCAACCAGAGCATCAAACGCTGCCTTAACTGGACCGAGGAACTCATCAAGGACGGCAAGAAGGCACTCGAGTACAAGGTGCGCGTGAGTGACGTGGAGCTGGCGCCAAGGGTCCTGGCGCCGCAGTACGAAGACGACCCAGATGTGCTAAAGTCTGGGGACGTTGGGGACGACGACGGCGACATTACTCTGTCAGACTCCATCTTGGATGATGTGCCACCTCTTAAGGGAGCAAACCTCGCGCCGCCATGGAGTGGCGATCCACAAATCAGAGATAGCGGCATCGAGCTACCTACTGACGAAGGATAGCTCTTGTCAGCCGCTCGATCATTGCCATCCACCTTCCACTAATCTCTCCACATACATATTGTAATTCCACGACCTTCCCCGTCATCGACCCGGCGTCGGACGCCACATCACTCACCACTCACACACACACTCACGGACCACGGCTTTTCCTTTTTCCACAACACAGCATTGCATCGCGAGGGAGGGCACGGCGAAGACCGTTTGCCCAGGGCGTTTTTGTCACCAATTTTTTTGCAGGCGGGGGTTTAGCTCGGGTTGGCATCACACCTGCGCCCCAGCATATTTCATTATTCCACACTGCTCCGCCGCCGAACCCGGACGTCGCGCATCTCTGCGGACAAGACGAGTTCATGTACTCGTAGGGTGTGTGCTATCACCAGTATTTCGGACTCCCTGCGTAGGGGCTCCTCCACGTCGTGTCATCTGGCTCTGCTTCCTTTTGTCGCTTTTTTTTTTTTGTGTCTGTCTTGTTGCTGCTGCCTCGCGAATGGATATTTCATGTACCCATTAGATACCCCAGGATCACATAAAGAATGGAGGAATAAGGCGAGCCTGACGGGCTCTGTCTGGGAGATGCTAGCTAGTTAGCCAGCCGAGGCGAAGAAAGAATTATATTCACTACTGCCATTTCGTGATGGCTAGTGGGGAAGATGAGTGTAAGGCCGACGATGGCCCACTTCCGAGTCGGAGGACCCGGTTCGGGATGTTGCGCTACGTCACGAGCTGGAGGAATGGATCGACATGTTCGTAGCCATGCGCTTCATTCGAGGACGTGGCACTTGTCGGCCGTCACCACTATTGCTCCTATTGGCGATGCGAGAAAGCTTCGTATCGAACTCTGCGTCTCTCTGGACCGAAAGCAGACCTGACGGGCACGGAGACGGGGAATCCAATCGGCAGCAGGACCCTTCTAAACAGATTCGAGTTGAACAAGAGAAGAAGAAACGGAAAATCTATCTTCATAAGGAGAAGCAGAAGCAGAAGAAGAGGGAAAAAAAAGGTGGTATTATCCATGCAAAAAAAAAGAAGACAAAGACTGAGAGTGAGGCGAACTCTTCCCATCCCTCCCGCGCATCTCTCAACGCCCCGCTCTACACTGTCCGCTGCCACGTCTTGTCTCGCCCGTACCGTTCACGACCGGCTCATCACGTCGCACACCTAGACAACTCCGCCGGGACACCGAGGCGCATACTCTCGCTCACGGTCCGTCCTCGGGCGGCACATGCCGCGCTGCCCCGTCCGCTGCATCTGCGGCCCCTCACTCACAGGTCGGCCTTCTCCTTGGGCACGTTCGGCGCGTCGGCGGCCGTCTTCTCGGCCTCGTCGTGGTGGGGGTGCAGGTGGTGCTTCTTGCCCGACTTCTTCTTCGTGTCCTTTTCGCGCTTGATGGCCGCCTCGGCGACGAGCTGCTCGAAGACGAGGTGGTCGCCCTCCTCCTCGGGGGAGCGTTTCGCCTTGCCGTAACGTTAGCGTGTGTCTTTTGTGTATTTTTAAGGACAGGGAGACGGAAAGAGAACGAGGGAAGAACGGAAAGGGGAGGGACGGGACGTACCTTGATGAAAATGTCGCCAATGAGGACCAGCGCCTCGGCGCGCTGGAGACGCTTCTGCAGGGGCACCTTCTTGTCGTAGAGGACCTGGTCGCAGACCTCGCGCAGGACGCTCTGAATCTCAAACTTGGAGCCGCGCCAGGCGGCGGTGAGGATCTTGCCGGTGACGCGGCGCTCAAACTCGGCCTTTTGCTCGTCGGACCAGTCCTCGCCGCCCTGCTCCTCCATGCGGGCCATCTCCTCGATAGTCTGCTGGGCGTCAATGGCCGACGAGATGGTGCCCCACGTCTCCTTGACGAGGGTGCCCTTGTCGCGGACGCGGCTGAAGAAGCCGCCGATGCCGAGGAACTTTTGGGAGCGCAGCAGGTTCGTCGCCTTGGCGAGGTACGTCTGGCCGATGGCGTGGAGAATGTCGAGGCCAAACGACTCCATCTTCATGTTGGCCTCCTCGAGGCGCGTCTTCTCCTGGAACGCCCGCGTCACGGCCTCGCCGCGGTCCGTCTCGGTCCACACGCTGACGCGGTCAACGAGCTTGCGCGCGAGTGTGTCGACGCGCTCCTGCCGCACGAGCGCCCGCTGCGCCTCCATGGCCGCGAGCTGCTCGCGCTGCTCCTTGTTGAGGCCGCCCTTCTTCTTCTCCTTTTCGCGCAGCGACTCTTCCGTCTCAGGGACCGCCGCCGCTGCCGCTGACGCCTCGTCCGAGGGGCGGTCCATGAGGGCCGGGCGCAGCGGGATCTGCGTGCGCGAGCGGTTCGCTGAGCCGCCCGAGGGGCTCGGCGAGGGTGTGCGGGGCGGCAGAGGCGGGGCGGCGCCAGCGGCAGAGCCGTCAGCGGCGGGCACGAAGGGCTTGTCGGCGTGGCCGGCGGGCGTCTTCTCGTCCTCGGCGACGACGGTCGGGGGTGGCGCATGGGCGGCGGCATCCTTCTGGCTTGCCTTCATGGCCTCCGCTGTGCCGGGGAATTCGGCGTCATCACCAGCTGTGGCGGTGGTGTTGGGAGCAGCAGCAGTAGCGGCGGCGGCGGCAGCAGCCTCCTGCTCCTGCTCCTGCTCTTGCATGGTGATGTCCATGGTGGCGGTCAGGTCCTTCATGAGGCTGATCTCGCCGATCCAGTCGACAAAGGCATCGCCGCCAAAGATGGAGGTGAAGAACTCGGCGGGGTCGGCAAAACCCTCGCTGGGCTTGGCGTGGTCCTTGCCAAACTTGTCGTAAGCGGCCCGTAGGTCTTTATCGGAAAGGACCTGGTAGGCCTCGCCGATCTCCTGGAACTTTTCATGCGCGGAGGGGTCGTTGGGGTTCTTGTCTGGGCGGGGGTGTCAGCAGTGTCTCGTTCTTCGTCTGATGGCGCCACGGGGGACGGCGGGAGAGAACGCACCTGGGTGGTGGACGATGGCCAGCTTGCGGTAGGCCTTCTTGATCTCGAGCTCGGAGGCCGTGGGTTGAACACCCAGGGTGTCGTAGTATGCGGTGTCCGCAACCATGATGGCGGTGGGTAGGAGAGATTATTCGGAGGGGGGTATCGGGGGGTCGGATGTCTCACTGAAGAGGGCAGGGATGGGTTGCTATTCGTAGCAAAGGCGATCTGGCGATATGGGAAGAGTAGGAGAAGGAGATCGAAGTTGCGGTCGTTGTTTTGTCAAGGTCAGATGGCCAAGTGAAAAGCACATGGAAATCCGGTGCCTGAAGGTGAGGTAGGTTGGTTCCCTCACCCGGTTGATGGCGGGCAAGTGGTACGTACCTCCTGGGTGCTGGTGCTGGGGGGCCAGCCTTTTCGCGAAGCCCCGCCAAATTACGTCGTCGGTCAGCCCAAAAAAACGTGCCGCCAACTCATCCAGTGGCAGTGGCAGTGGCACTGGCGGCTCTGCCTTGGATCACCACAGGCAGTACCTAGTCCTAGTGTCTAGGTGGCCACTGTTGTCCCCATGGTCCGCCAGACAACCTTGTCCATTTTCGGGGGCCGTTCGGAAAGCGCATTACGTGTACCGCGGCTTGGAGGGGCTTATGACGTTGCTCTCTTTTTTTTCATTGCTTCCACCACACCATGACATTTGCCCAGGATCGCCTATTTGCCAGGATCGCCTGGTGGCTCGTTGTCTCGGGCGCTCCGGCAGAATAGTGAGGCATCGACACCAGGACGTCGATATTCATGGCATTTCACTACTTGGCCTACGAAAGGTCTGCCTCTGCAACTCCCCTCGACATCGAGCTGTGGATGCGTCTTCCCAGGATGCGACTACACGCGGTACCTCAGAATAGTACTCACAGTTACGAACCTGAACGCCTGCCAACAACATGCTCAGACACCCCTTATTCATTTCGCATCATGCTCGATATCTCAATTAACACCAGCAGCCTTCATCCGCTGGAAACAGTTCCTATACGCATCGTGCACCTCGGGCACCTCGTACCCGTACTCCTTCAGCTTGCTGACGAGCTTGGTCGTGTCGAGTTTGCAGTTACTGCGCCCGGCCTTGATGACCTTGGCTTGTTCCTCGAGCGAGAAGTTCTTCCAGGTAAAATCAGGCCGCACAATCTCCTTGAACAGGCTGAGCACCTCGTTGTGGGAGATGGCGCCTGGGTTGGTAAAGTTGAAAACGCCCGTGTCCTTGTGCTCCGCCATGAGGATCGAGGCCGGCAAGAGATCGTAGAGGATCGTGTTGCTGTTGGGAATATCCACGACCCGATCATACTTGCTGATCTTGGTGACAAAGTTGCGCGAGTGCAAGTCGTCGCTGACGGGCATGCGCAGACGCAGGATGAGGCAGTTGGTGTAGTGTTTCATGATCTGGCCCGAGTTAGCTCTTGGCGGATTTGGGCGCGACGGCCAGAAAGGCTCACCTCCTCGACATGGCCCTTGGTGTCGGAGTAAAAGCTGCCCTTGAAATTGGCGGCATCCGTCTCGAGGTAGCCAGGCCCGCCAATAGGGTGAGCGTCATCATACTGGTAGATGCAGCCAGTCGCAAAGACGGTACAGTGGATGCCCTTGAGGAAACAGGCGTCAGCAAGGTTGAGGGTGCCGATGACATTGGATCGCATCGTGGCCTCCTTGTTGTCCTCGCACCAGTCGACATTGGGCCGGCCTGTGCAGCCTGCAGCGTTGAGCACGTGGGTTGGCCTGATCCTGTCGAGCTCGGCGAGGACGCCCTCGCGGTTCTCCATGCGAACAGTGGTTGTGTGAACCTCCTTACCAGCGGCCTCAAGAAGACTCTTGAGGTGGCCGGCTACCCAGCCCTCGCCGCCCCAGATGAGGAAGCGATTGGGGCCCGAAGAGCCGCTGCTCGCACCGTTTGTGCCATTCATACCGTTCGTAACTGACATGGTGACCGCTGAGGGTATGCTGAGCGAGTGAAAGATGATGTCCCACGATGGATGCCAATGTGGGGTCGAACGGGATGCTGTTGTCGATCACAGGCACGGGAGAGGTACGGGATCCGCAGGCTAGATGCAATTGGGGACAGGAAACGCTGGAGATGCGATGAGTGTTTTTGCTCAGAATGAGAAGAAGAGCCAGAATCGATGGAAGCAGAAGAAAAAGAAAGTGATCAGGAAGGAAGGGATAGAGTTAAGACGTAGTGTCTCGTGGCAGGAACGAGGCAAGGGGAGGGGTCCAACTGCGACTGCGACTGCAACGAAGCGCTGGGCTCAGACCAATGTCAGGCAAAGCGTGTTGAACCTTGAACGGAAGACCGGGGAACGATGGTCGCACAACGTTCACTAATTGCTGTTCCATCTGAAGCTTAATCGCCTCGTCTCGTCTCGCATTTACAGCGACATTTGCGCGGCAAATGGCACGAGGGGATGCAAGCTGGAGGAGATCCAACTTATGTCCTTTGTTTCCATCCCAAACATGCACCCACATCCCCTCTCGTTTGGAGCCCCCCACCGTGTAGAGCTCTCACATGTTGGTCAGAGCTCGAGGGTCCGCCATGACAATGTTGCCTTTCGTCATGGAGGTATGCCAAATGTATTGGGAGGAATCACATTGATCGAGGAAGTATCGTCTCCATGGAATCATCTTTGCCTGCCCTATCTAGCTTTCCCAATGTCGTATGTATGGCAACGCGTCTCAACGGCCACGCGGCGGTGAGCTTGCGGGGTCGAGCGTAACCTTTGAGAATGAGCCGCCATTTCGAAACCAACCACCACTGCGGCCGTTTGGGGTACAGCCGAGTCATACCTCTTGGGCCCGTGTGCGCCGACTTGATCAGAACCGCTCGAGTGCAACAATACCTACATGGTACTTCGAGGGGTTGGCTGACCAGCATCCGCCTGTCGACTGGCTTATCGGGGTGAGGTGCGTGGGCGCAGTCGCTTGGATCACTGTCAATGTACATTAATGAAGCCCGCCAAACAGCCTCAGATGATCATGGTCGAGAGATGCGAGTTGCTCACGTGGCCTGATGAAGGAGACTTTGCCGAAGCTGAGACAGATCGTACAGGCTTCTGCGCTCGAGATTGTTCTGGTGGCTGCTGGCATGGAGAGAAGCAATGGGTGAGTTGACGAAAAATATTTGATGCATTAGTTGATGAAGTATGAATCACATAGGGCACGCGGACACTATATTCGCAAAGACTAGCCTGTGGTGTCGAAGTTCATAGTACACAATGCCGGCTGGAGCAGACAGCGTGTTTGGATGGTCACGATATGAACCACGCAATCTTGTACTCGTCTGGTGGCGCGACGAACACAGAGACAAGCCGATGTCAGAAATGTGAAGGGTTCAAGCCTGCAAACCGAGGCGCAATCAGCTTAAAAGACGATTTGCACTTCATTCGGGCCGCCCTTCGGTGGCGCCGTCAGCCATGTCCTTCAAGACCGGTCTCATCCATCGGCACCGCGTCGGCAACTGTTGCTTGATCAATACTGAGCCATTCCAAGGCCCCCACGGAACGCCGACTCGGCACCGCGCTTACTGGCTGGGCTTTCGGGCGGTCGGTGTAAAGTCGCACGCGGTTTGTGTGTGGCAGGCACCTGTCACTGGCAAGCACCAAGTGTAGCGTGGTCCAGTGTGCAGTGCTCTGGAGCTGGGCCAAGCAATCATAGTGGCCAATTGGCTCGCTTGGGAGATTCACGCCCCTCTCAGCATCAGTGTGCGGCCACACGGGGCGTCGTAATAGCATGCTGACTACCTACCTCACATACCTTTCTCCAGATTCAAGGAGGCACCAGCCAGTCATCGTGCCCTTTCTTGTCGAAGGGTCCCGCCATTTCGGCCAGGGCAACTTGCTCTACCCACTACCCACGAACACCCCCAGAGGCCGTGGGGGGTGCCTGGAGCAAGTGAAGAAAGCCCGGTGGAGAAACGCTTCTGCCCCCTTCTCCTCAATCTCCCCAAGCCCCAAATGGTGGTGAATTCTTCCATCCATCCATCTTGGGTGTTCTCCTGTAACCTGCCACCTCCTCACATCTCCTCCCCCCTTCCAACACCACCACCTCCTCCGCCGCCGCCGCAACCTCCTTCACCACTCTCGGCGATTACATGAGCGAAAGTTGTCCACTTGATTGCGGCCAACATATAAACGTTCCCTTCCTCCCCTTCACGAGACCACACTTGGAACGAATTTTGATACCCCATCCGAGTCGCGTCTCGCAGAGGAATACTCTACTTTCTTCTCTTTCCCTTCTCACAGCGTCCCCAACCTCGACGCGTTCTTCCACGCCGACTTCTCTTCCCCGCACTCGTTGCCGCTGTCGCCGGCATATCCGTCAAGATGGGTGCCCTCTACTACGCTTTCCACCCAAACCAATTGCGGTCCATCATCCAATGGTACGGCGTCCCCCTGCCCTCTCTGTGCCCACGTGCTCGACTCGTTCTGACTATTTCCACAGGAAGATGTGGCACGATCCCGTTCACAGGCGAACGCCCGAGAAGGAGAGCCCCGAACTGCGAAAGTGCTTCGAGCTGCTCGACTTGACGAGCCGTAGCTTTTCGTCCGTCATTCAGGAGCTCAACCCGGAGCTCCTCGTCCCTGTCTGCCTGTTCTATCTCTGCCTCCGCGGTCTCGACACGATTGAGGATGACATGACGCTCTCTGTCGAGAAGAAGGTGCCGCTTCTGAGGAAATTCGATGAGTGCATGGAGACGGATGGCTGGACGTTCACCGAGAGCGGCCCCAACGAAAAGGACCGCGAGCTCCTGGTCCACTTCGATGTCGTGATCACCGAGCTCAAGAAGCTCAAGCCCGTCTACTACGATGTCATCAAGGACATCACCATCAAGATGGGCAACGGCATGGCCGACTACATCAACGCCCCCTTCGGCGTCGAGAAGATCACCGAGTACGAGCTGTACTGCCACTACGTTGCCGGTCTTGTTGGCGAGGGCCTCACCAAGCTCTTCGTCCGGGGCAACCTTGCAAACCCCCGCCTCGAGGAGAGGCCGGAGCTGACCGAGTCGATGGGTCAGTTTCTGCAGAAGACCAACATCATCCGTGATGTCCACGAAGACTTCGAGGACAACCGCAGCTTCTGGCCCAAGGAGATCTGGAGCAAGCACGTCGACACGTGGGAGGATCTCTTCAAGCCCGAGAACCGCGAAAAGGCAATGCAGTGCAGCTCCGAGATGGTTCTCAATGCGCTCAAGCACGCCGAGGACTGCCTGTTCTACATGGCCGGCATGCGCGACCAGAGCTGCTTCAACTTTGTCGCCATTCCCCAGAGCATGGCCATTGCCAGTCTCGAGCTTGTCTTCCGCAACCCCCGCCTCTTCGACAGCCACCTCAAGATCTCCAAGGGTGATGCTTGCCAGCTCATGATTGAGTCGACGCAGAACCTGTTTGTCGTGTGCGACATCTTCAAGCGTTACGTCCGGAGGATACACAAGAAGAACGACCCCCGCGACCCCAACTATGTCCCCATCAGTGTGCAGTGCGCCAAGGTATGTGTCTGCTGCCCTACCCAGCCAGGATCTCCCTGTTAACAGATTTGCCAGATCGAGCAGTTCATCGACACTCTGTACCCGAGGCAAGACCCTGACAAGCTCAACGTGGAGCAGAAGAAGAAGGACGCCAAGGATCCCAGCATGGACCCTGGCGAGGCAGCCGTTCTTCTCGGCATCACGCTGCTGACGCTCCTCTTTGTCTCTGGTCTCATGGTATGTCGACAAATGTTCCCTCGCCTGTCCAGTACTCTCGACTAATAATTACACAGATTGGCACGGCGTGGTTCTTCGGCGCACGCTTCGATGGTCTCTGGTCTGGACTCTTCGGCTCGTCACAAAACGAGACGTACAGCTGGCCTACCGGCGGCGAGGCCGTTCCCTCGGCAGTGCCTTCGATCGAGCATCCCGAGCTGTAACGTGGCAGGGAACAACACAATTTGCGCTTCTGTTCTTCGACATGGTACATATGACGGCGTTGACGGTTTGCTGCCCCCTTTTTTTGCTGCGATGAACTCATGTCACACACCTACCCCGAAAAGGCAGAGACGAACTGGACTGGACTGCCTGACTTACGTATTTAATACCACCCCCGCCACAGCATTGCGTGGTGGCTTGTTCTCGACCCCGCGATGTCGCGGACCACCCTGACCAAGCCTCCCTTTTTGTCTCAGTACACCCCGCCGTGACAGTGACCGGGTATTCAATCTCGCGAGAGCGAGACGGAATGTGAGGACGGTGAGAAACAAGAACAAGGCTGCGGCCGTAGCACGGATGTCAAATTACAATCCAGTCCCACCTCCGGGTGGCCATGACTGTGGTTGCGCCGAAGAAGTGCTGATAGTAAACCCCACCGGCAAAGACCTCGTCCTCTTCAGGGCGAGTACGGGGCGGGCGGATCTTTATCTCGATGGAAATCCGCCCTTTTGCTCCGGCTTGCAAACATATCTCTGATGCAGTGCAGTGCAATTGACTCGCGTGGTGCATGCAGGATGAGACCGTATCGTAGATTGGGGGAAAAGGGGACTGACCATGTTGCCGGAACTTGGGATTAGTTTGATAGATTGCCAATCGACGCCATGTAAGCCCCAAACTCTACTATATCCTCGCCTTCACTACACTCGATCGCTTTTCCTCATGTCACGCAGGCCAAGGCTGGCCTCGCTCGTCTCGTGACCTCGTTCCAGCGATGGTACCGTGTATGCCGCTGACAAGCCAGGCTCAGGCAGCCGAAGCGCGGCGGGCCCCCTTGCGCACGGCGGCGCCGCGCCTGAGACGCAGGACGTCTCGGCCTCGGCGTTGCATCGGGGGCGTATGGCAGCGGGCGAAACGGCAACGCATGCCTCCCCCTCCCCCTTTCTTCCTCTTTCTGCCGACCACGACAAGGGCTTTGCCGCAGGGCCCCCTGGGAGCGAGGCGTTTTAAGCATGAAGGTGCACGAGATGGATCTGAGACGCGGATCTCTGGTGATCGGTTGTTTGTTTACGGAGTGTTTTTTTTTTTTTTCCTTTTGTGGTTTGCCTGCCCAGTTCCCTTCTTTTGCTCTTCACCCTGGAGCCATGCGTCGATCATGAGGATGGAGAGGGGGGGGGCGAGGCTCGAAATAGAGTGATTTGCAATGCGGGCGGGTTTCGCGACCGGGGCGGGGGACAGAAATGATGGGCGTAGTATGTACATTTGTCAGTCTGTCTGTTCATCAGTTTGGCGGGGAAGCGCTCTTGCTAGGAAACGAGCTTTGCATAATGGTTAAGAGTCGTGGTCCCGTTCTCGTGGTCAGACTGGAACAGCAAGTCAGCCCATTCTTGTATTGCCGGTCCGTTGAGCTTGTTTGGTAGGCAAGAGTCAGCCAGCATGCAGCATAGCATGTCGGTTCACGCATTTCGAGACCACAGTCCGAGCGAACAACGGTGTGGAATAGTCGATTCAGTCATGTTCGTCTATTTTCGCTATGCAACGCAACTATATTGGTTTTTCTTCGTCGTTTCCTACCGCCCGCTCATGTCCAATCCCACTTTCCATGAACCCGTGACGATGACTCGATTGATGAGAGTAGAGAAGGAAAAATCATAAAGTGAAAATAGTCTTGTCAATTAGATACAGGTCAAGATAAAATGCAGATATAATTTTTGGTTTTCTGGTCAAGTCTTTTGTCCGACGTCAGGCTTCTGGAAAAAGCATTCATCTTCTTAGATTAGTCATGGTGATATTGTCAATACGCCGCGCTTTCTAAAATGTATGAAAACCAAGACTCAAAAGGATACGCCAAGACAACGGCCTACGGCCCGTACCCCAGCTCGTCCCGCCAGGGCAACCCCTCCCTCAAAGCAGCGCAGCCGGCTCGGCGACACTAGAGCTGGCCGTTGTTGGCAATGAGGTTGGTGGTACCGGGGGTGTTTCCGCGGACCTGAGCGCCCGAGGCGGTGGCGAGCTCGGTGAGACGTGAGGCGACGGCCTCGGGGGTGTTGATGTTCTCGAGAGCGATCAGGTAGGCGGCGAGGCCGGCGACGTGGGGCGAGGCCATGGAGGTGCCGGACAGGGTGTCGGTGGCCGTGTTGGATGTGATGCCGACAGAGAGGACGTCGACGCCGGGGGCGAAGATGTCGACATCGGCGCCAAAGTTGGAGAAAGAGGCCTTCTGGTCGTTGGAGGCGTCAATAGCACCGACCGTGATGGCCTGGGGCGCTGAGGCAGGCGACGTGTTGGCAGCGTCCTGGTTCTCGTTACCGGCAGCCACGACGGGGACGACACCGGCGTCGAAGAGGGCCTGCACAGCGCGGTTCACGGCCGCCGACTGAGGGCCGCCGAGAGACATGTTCATGACGGCCTTGCCGCGGAGGTTCTTCTGCTGGACGTCGTTGATGACTGTTTGGTCAGCGCCTGGTGTATGCTATCTGGGGGAGAGGACAGAGGCAGGGAACGTACTGAATTGCAGGCCGTCGAGAACACCGGCGTTGGAGCCGGCACCAGTGCCGTCGAGAACCTTGACGGCGACAACATTGGCAGACTTGGCGACACCGAAGGTCTGGCCGCAAATGGTACCAGCGACGTGGCTGCCGTGACCGTTCTGGTCGTTATCCTGAGACTCATCAGTACGTTTTCCTCTGACGATCAAGACGATATATACTCACAACGTTGTCGACAGTGTTGACGCCAAAGGTGGCACGGCCCTGGAACTCCGAGTGGTCGGTGCGGATGCCCGTATCGACGACGTAGACGGTGACACCCTCGCCGCCGGTCGTGTCAAAGACGTAGTTGCCGTTGCCGGGCTGAGCGTTGGACAGGCGGTTGAGTCCGGGGGGCGCGTTCATCTGGGCGACCGACGCGGAGAGCTTGACGCGGGCGTTGGCCTCGACCCAGGCGACCTCGGGCTCGTTCATGATTTCAAGGATCATGTCGTCGTCGGACTCGAGGGTCATGGCACGCCAGCCGTTCATGGCGAGGGCGTGGACCTCGGTGCTCAGCTGGCGGCCGTCAAGGCCACGCTTGCCGATGTTGCGGCGCTTGATGTGGTTCATGACCTCGGTCTGGCGGAAGTTGATTGTGTCATCGTCAAAGGTGTTGTTGTAGACGACGATGTAGCTGTTGGAGACACGCTCGGTAGACTCCGAGTTGAGCATGGCGGAGAAGCCCTTGGCGAGGAAGTCGGCGGCTCCGGTGATGGCGCCGGCGGGGACCTCCTGGGGGGCGACGGGGATGCCGGGGATGGCGGCCGCCATGGCGGAGAGGGGGAGAAGGAGGGAAGAGAGGACCTTGCTGATGGGAGCCATTGTTGCGGTGGTACGAGAAGACTGACGGGTGTTGTCGTGAGGTGGAGGTGGAGGTTAAGGTGAGGTGGTTGAGCTGAAGGACCGGATCGAAGCCTGCGACGAGTACAACAACAACAAGGATACAGTGAAGGTTTGATCGGAGGCTAGCTCGTCGACGAAGAGAGGGAAAGAATGTATGAACAAGAGATGTTGCAACGAGACCACAGGTCTATAAAGAGTGACGAGCGTGGAAGTGAGTGTGTTGTCGAAACGGAAAGAGACCAAAGGCCCAAACGAGACGAGACGTGGGGTCAAAGGGGGTGATGGAGAGCAAGGACACCGAATGGAACGTGTTCCAGAAAGTCAGAGAGCGACTCAGAAGATGGGACGGCCGTAGCAGGTCTATGAATGGAATACAGGATAGGTGGGCGGGGGGCCGGGGGATCAGATCTGATCGGATATGTCCGTGGGTTTGATCGATGACCGTGACTGCTCGTTGTCCGTTGCAAACGAAAATAAAAGGGGTGTCTTGAGGTTCCGAAGGAGAGTGAATCCGAAAGGGAAGCTGTCGAAGACGAAGAAGAAGAAGAAGAAAATAAGACACGAAAAGGATAGTAGACTGCGGTGAGTTCGAGAAGTGGACGACGAATGGAAGCAAGAGGAAAGAGGGGAGGAAGACGAGACGAGACGACGAAGCCAGAGGCTTTTGACTGTTGGAGGGTTGGACAAGAAGCTGCAGGCCAGGGGGTGGTCCGTCGTGTGTGTTCCCAATGTGGGCAGTCGTCGACAATAGGTTTAGTGCGTTGAAGAAGGGCGTTGAATACCGTGAATGGGGTAGAGTGGTCCATTGTTCCAGACCAGAGAGGGACCGGGGTGGCTAGAGCCAGTCATTATGGCAGGGTTGTGCATCGCTGCCTGTGTTGATGGGGTGCTGGGTGATGGATGCTTGGTGATGGATGGATGCTTGGTGTTGGGTCATGCTAATGTCGGCTTGTCGATGCTGGAGATCGAACTTGCACGAGGCCCCAAGTGGATTCTACAGGGGACGGCAGGAGCCTCCAGGGAACTGGGAAGAGCCCTCAGGGAGCAGGAAAGAGCCTTCAGGGGATGTTAGGGGCACGTTGAGGGACGTTAGGGGCCCTCGACGCTAGGGTAGCGGGCATCAGAGCAGACAGCGCATGGCGGGACGGATCCACTCCCCTCAACCACTGCAGGAACAAGGCAGATGCCCCCCCGCCATTGGTCTGCCAAGTCAAACGCACACACCCCGGCCGTCGATCCGACCACTGGCTCCGGTTTCGAGCAGCGACGGCCCCTAATCTCAAACAGACCAGTGCAGGGGTCTTTCTTCTTTCTCTCACTCTCCCCTTCCCCCTGGCCGGGCCAGCCAGGGCAGGTCACAGCAAAATTCTGGTTCAGAGCGCCCCGGCCGGGCGCCTGTGGCCTCCTCCTCGTTGGCTGTCGATGCTCGTTCCGTCACGCTGCAAATCTCTTGTACCAGATTGTGTCGCCTTCACGTGGACCAACGAGGCTTCAGAGCTTCAGCCTTGCCTACCCGCGTCTGAATCAATCATCGACTCAATCGGGAGTCACTGACCAAGAGCCGAGCAGTCACAATAACAACAATATGCCACTATGCTACCTTCGCCAACCTTCTTCCCCTTGGAGCCACAGCCTCTGACCCCGGTCCTGGTGACGACTCCTTGCGGCGGCGCTTCTGGCCCTTTGGGATAATCCCCGAAATGCAAGGCACACGCCAGGAGCCCACTCTCCAGCCAAGCGAGCAGCACCAGCACCAGCAGTGTGTCAGGACGCTGCACTCTCTCCTTCTTTCTGGCCCTTTGCAGCCGCAGACACACTCAAATCTCGCCCTGCCGATACGAACCGTCCACTGCCTGCTTTGTTCCCCTTGTTACCTTGATCCCCCCCCGGCCTGTCACGACAAGCCTCTTACTTCTTTGTCCAGCTTGGGCTCAAAGCCGTTAGGTCCAATCTCTTTATCTGATACCGCCCACGCCCCCCATGTGCAGCAGCTCTTCTCTAGCTGCATCTTCCAATCCGAGCTTTGGGGAATGAGCAATGCCTGCCTGCCGTCATATCATGTCATCTGCAGTCATGAGCTTCACAGCAACAGCACCAACAAGTCTGGATGGCTTCGCATGCGAAGTATCTCCAGTCATCCAGATGACACGAACAGTTCAAATACATATGTCCTGCCGCCACTACCTGCTGCCCGTGGAACTTTCCATTGAGTCCCCTGAAGCAAGGTTATTTGTGAACCAAACGCTTGCACGCGCGCCTGGAGGGAGCCCGCCCCTCCCACACTGAATGATCGCCGTCGCTTCGTCGCATCCAACCCACACGTTCCATGATCTGCCAGCCTCCCGTCGCGTATCCCCCAGCATTGGACCAAGTTTGGAAAACCCGGTTGCAGTATCCAGCTTTGTCAAGATTCCGACCGTAAGGCGCAAAGAAAAGAGTCTCGTCCGCAAGATTGCAGCCAAGCTCGCTCGCAGAAGCCAAGCCACGTCAGATGCCGTAGCCGCTCAGGAAATAGCGGGGGGAGAGGGGCCGCCTGTTCTCCGGCCCAGACGAAAAGTGATTGCATAGGGCCCAGATGTCGTGCAATGTCACTCGTCCGACAGGCAGGAGAAGACCGCTCCCCGCTTCCCTCGTGTCAAGCCGCTGACATGGCGTGCATGCTAGAGGCTCAATCACTGCCAAGCACGGTATTTGGCCCGAGTCAAAGTTGCAATCTGAGAACCCTGTGCAGCTCGTCGTTCAGTAGCCTGTTCGAGAGAAGCCTGGCTGTTCCCTGAGCCTCAGCGCATCGCAGCATGCCTCATCTCTTCTCTGACGGCGGCGGCAGTAGGCTTGCCCGTCCTATATCCATACCGCAACGGCTGGGAGAGCCTTGTCCCTTGATGGCACTGTTCGTGAGCCTCAGCTCGAGGGACGGACGAATAGCACCTCTGCTGCCGATGGGTCGCCCGTTGAGACGGCACCTGAGTGAAACGACGCGACCAGGTCATATCGATATCTCCAAGGGTACGTCCTTGGGACTTCCTTCGGTACTTCCCGCCGAGGACTGGCAGGGGAAGCTCAACCCTCAGCAACAGGGTTGGATCACAGCTTGGTACCCGAACCACCCTGTCTATGTGACTAACAACCCATGGGCTGTATTTTGCTTCTTCAACGATGATATGCCAAAGACGGCAGGTGACTATCAAAATGCAGGCCGCAACAAAGCGTATGGTGCAGTTCACAACTCAACGCAGTGGAAACAAGACGTTGTTGCCCCTCCTTGGAAATTGGAGGGCGCCCAAGCGGCGTAGCAACACCGCCACCAGATCAGGTGAGCATATCCCCCAGACTCGAAAGATGAGCGGGCCCCAACCAGCACCCCTACGCATCCGTCAACGTGCGCCAGCCGCGACACCAGATGAGACGAGACGGGTGCACCGAACCACTGGCGCTCGATGGGCTTGAGTCTAATGGGGCAGGAGCGAACTTTGGATGGATATGAGGCTCAATGTGTGTGCCCTGACGATCCCGCCCCTCCCTTCTTCCCCTTCTTCCGGGCGGCCAACCTCTCCACCTCGGCATTGACGTGCGGATGGGATGTGCCGGCGAAGCATGGCCTCCAAACTGTCGTCCATCAATCATGCGGCCGAGCCGCGTTGGACCGCATGATGGGCGAGTGTCGATCCGAGGCGGCTGGACCGTCATCCATCTTCCATTTATGAATCCCCATTCGCCCCCCCCCCCTTTCTCCCCTAGCTGCACGACAACGATCTGGCAATCTGCTTTCAAGATTTGTTGCTTTTTGGCCATGATGTCTCGGGCCCTCATTCGCGCTTGCCCGTGAACCCTCGATTTCACCTCACGTCCCTCCCGATGATCGACCATCAAATCATGAACCGTACGCCTCTGCTGCACCACGATCCATCTCCGGCTGCGACGAGCGTCGTCTTGGCATCTGGTCGTCGCAGCCCTGTCGTTGTTCGGAAGAGACGAGCCCGTGGCCACCGCTGAGGTCTCTCGCGTTTAGCCCTGCGCCATCACAGTCCTCTCGTCGAGCGCCCCCGCCAGCCGTGGATGTGCATCTGTGCCCCGTCCCGTCTCTGCCCTGACGACCAACCGCTGCAGCAGCCTGCTCTTGTCTGAACACGGAAGCTCGTGGGCCGCTCGTGCTTCAAACCGCCACACCTGAGCGTTGGTATGTGTGTGTATTGTATGAGAGGGGGGGAGAGAGAGGGCAGTAGCGGAGTGCGTATTACTGCTTCACATAAGGTAGGTAGGTACATTGGTAGAGCGGCAGGACAATTCACCGAGGGCTGGCTGGCCTTTGCTTGCGTGGATCTGGCGGTGCAGGGCCGTGTTGGGGCGGCGGGCGGCTAATCGCCCAGTTCCAGTGCGCGCAGGCCAACGTGCCTCTGGATGCAGTGTGGGCCAGGCTCTGGTGAAACGGCGTGTTTCGAGCCTCACGACACGACGCCGCTTCTCTCGTCTCAGGGGGGGTTGCCCATCTGACGCGAGACGACGGTACGATGGGTTATGTGCCTGTGTTATGTAGAGGTTGTGCCTTTATTGTGAAAGGGATAAATGGCTGGATCGACAGCCTGCGTGATCTGCTCGAACCGTGCTCCAGCTGCATGTATATCGCCATCACACGATCGCCCATGGCACGATGATCGGGTCCCGAGCACACGGGTCCTGGTATGGCCTCCTCTACTGGTGGCTGCCTCTGTGTGCACCTTGACAAGGCTGAACTGAGAGAGGCTGGCGTCAAAGGGTTGCCTGGGTACACTTTGCGGCTGCACATGGTTGTCGCCGATTGAGCTTGATGCTACGTACGCTGTGGCTGCGGCTGGAAGTTTGACGCCTGTGCCTCGTGGGAAAGCAAAACACGGAGGCACCATCCAGGTCATCCTGGCTGGGTCGTCAGACTGACTGGATCGGCTCCATGGGCAACAAGGCTTGGATGGTCTCTGCGGGCCGAGTCACGATGAGGTTGAAGGATGACTGAATGTAGTGAAATATGTCCACATGACCAATGTTTGACAAGAATTTGATCGACGGAATAGAGTAGGACCAAGATAGAAGAGACACCTCTTCCCGAGACAAGCCTCCCAATGCCAAAGTGCATGTATGATCTGATAAGGTAAGCAGTGGCGGTGCGTGGCGGTGCACATTGCATGAGGTGATCGCCGGCCATGCTTGCAACGCAGCACTCGAGCCCCCCCTCCACCCCCCTGCCCAATTAATTTACCAAGTACTGAGTACAGCCAACACGAACTGCCCCGCCATCCTTTTTGGGGGGTCCACGGGTCTCATCAGTCTGTCACTGGTACTCATCAACTGAAAATGGACCAAACTCACACTGGTCATGTCATGTCAGTTGGGTTTGCTCCTCCCCCCCCCCTCCGATGAACCAAATTCATCATTCCATGCCTCATCTCCCTTTGTGTAGGTGTATGTGCGCCTTGCCTTGATACCCCCCCTCCCCTCCTCTCCCCCATTTTCTACTACCAACTCGGCTGCCCGACAGCGTGGCACCATACCTTACCTAGTCCGTCCAAATTTGATACCCAATACCCTTTGACTCTACTTTGACTCTACTTTCGTCTCCTAAACCTCCGATCCTCCGTCACACACGCTGGTCCTGCCTCATCTCGTGATCTTTCCTTTCCACCCACCCCTCTGCTGCTGTGCAGTCCACCTTGCCTTGGCCGCCCGACATTGCTACCTCCTCTGCTCTCGATCATCGCCGAAAACGAAACCGCAGACAACGACGACATCATTAGAACCGACTGTGCGCGTGGCTTCTTCATTGCGCACGCGACCATCCGCCGAGACCGCGTAAAGTGGCTCATCCCTCCCAATCTCAACCCATCCAAAGGGGACGTTCGACTATTGACATCTCATTTCCCCCCGCCTACCGCACGCCACGGTCTCTCCATTCCTTTCATAGCAATTTTTTTTTTCTTCTTCTGCTTCCAATTCTCGTGTTCGTCGCTTCGGAATATTCCCACCCGTTTTGCCATCTTCTTCTGTTTGAGCAAACCATCAAGGTCGTCAGGTGTCACATCACCTTGGTGGTGCTTCCAATTCAGCGAGAGAATCCAACCACCATCCAACCACCGACGACATCGCCCACCACCGCAAAGACGGCAAACTTGACGCATACGACATCCACCGTAGCGAAAGCGTTCGTCGTCATCATCATCATACGTTCAACCAACCGCACACCTCTCGATAACCGCCGATAAACGCGCACCGGCGATTGCGCCGATCCCAGCAGCGACATGTCTGCCAGGCCTGCAGACAGTCGGCACACCGGCCCCGACCGAGCCCTGCGAGACGGATGCGAGGGCAGGGCCGCCGAGGAGGAGCTGACACACATCATGGCTGCCTCGATCATCGGCAACACCGTTCTCAACATTGCCTCGAATCCCGTCTCTCCCGGCTCCTCCAGCCCGCCCCTCGACCAGACCAAGGGCTCCGACTTTGTCCCGCCGACGCGGCCCAGCAGCACGCCGTTTCCCCACTCCGAACCGCGGCATGCCAACTACCACTATCTGTCGGGCGACGAGGACATGCTGGATTTCGAGCACGACGCCGGCTTCACGACGACGCCGTACTCGGAACACTTTGAGACGGTGCCCGAGATGAAGCTGAGCCTGCTCGATCTGCCCTCCGAGGTGCACGAGATGATCCTCGACCACCTCTTTGGCTACCGCGTGTCGACAAAGTCGAAAAGCTCCGTCGACATGCAGAGCGTCACCAAGAGCTGGAACACGGCGCTGCGACATTCGCGTAGGAGAGAGCTGTCCGAGCTGGCGCTGATCAATCACACATGGAGGATCCTGATCCAGCAGAGGCTGTTCCGACACTTGAAGCTCAAGGCGACCATCGACTCGGTCCACGCCGCCGTGACCTTCTTTGCCGCCCACGATGAGCTGCGTTACTACGTCAAGCACATTGAGCTGTGGTTCCCCGTCTTCCAGCCAAAGTACGGCCCGCTCGCGTTGAGTTCCGCCCTGGCTCTACCGACTGTGACGTCCGACGGCCTCACCAACGCGACGTACACGCTACCGGCCAACAACTGCACTCTCGAGGAGGCCCTCCTCTTCGTGGCCGAGACGCTGCCGTTCGTCATGATCCTGACGCTCGAGGGCGGGGAGCGGAAGAAGGCGCCCATGGTGCAGCATTCCTCCTGGGCTGGCCCCAACGACTGGGCCCTGCCGATCCTCGAATCCGTCCGCACGCTCGTCACGAGGGGCCAGTGGAACCTCATGCGCACCGACGAGGATTTCAGGTCGATCCTCTCGTCCCTGCCCAACCTCACCGAGTGGCACGGCTCCTACTCGAAGCCCAAGTCCAAGAGCTATCTCTCCATGGCCCGCGTCCTGCCTGATCTGCCCGCCGCCCACCTCAAGAGCCTCCACCTCTGTCTCGAGAGCGACTACCGCCGCGAGGTCACCTACCCGGCCCACCACGTCAAGGTCTGCCGGAGCGTCCACTTTTGCACAAAGCTCGCCGAGGCCGTGCCCCAGCTCGAGCACTTTTCCTACACGGGCCGCATCTGCAAGTCCTTCTTCCGCGTCCTCGCCGAACTGACCGACCCTCGCACGACGCGGCTGAAGAGTATCGACATCACCGTCAAGAACTGCTGCCGACCCGTGCCCGTGTTTCACGAGTCGGGCAGCGGCATCCAGGACACAGGGTTCATTGACGCGTTCGAGCTGCTTGTTGCCCAGGGTATTCGGGCGCTGCAGAAGCTTCGGTCTGTGGATTACCTGCGGATCCGCTTCGTAGACCTAGGTGCGTTCCCCTTCATCCTCTTGCGTGCGTTATTCGAGGTGACGCTCTTGCTGACCTGCGCAGACTCCCTGCTGCCGCCCCTGAACCCCTACTTCCTCCTCCGCGGCGACTCTTGTCTCGGCATCTGGAGCGGACGCATCCTCTCCGAGCTCAAGGATGCCCGGCCGCGCGCGTCGTACGAGGAGCTCAGCGAGACCTTTGGCGATATCGGCATCAACAAGGACGGGAGGCTGGTGATCAGCGGGTCTGGCGCCAACTACCAGCGGTCGCAGTTTCGGTCGCTCAAGGTCAACAACTATCACCTGCTGGCGACAAGCATCATCCCGGGGTGAGATACCCGGGTACAGTATTCTGGGGAAGGCAGTCCCATGAAAGGCAGTCCCGGGAAAGACAGCTTCGGGAAAGGCAGTCCCATGAAAGGCAGTCCCGGGAAAGACAGCTTCGGGAAAGGCAGTCACATGAAAGGCAGTCCTGGGCGAAGAGTGTTCTACTGCTGCAGAGGCGGGTCCCGTCCTTCACACACGAGCGACGTGGGACCCAAACAACACATTTAGTACAGAGGATTTGAGAGGTGCATCTGAGGAGCATGAAAAGGAAGAAAGTGCCCTTGAAAAAAGAGGCAAGGCGTTTACACGGATGTTATTATGGGTTGGAGAATTTGGGTGCATTGTTTGAAACCGGTCCCCCCCCCCCCCCCCCATTCCAACAAACCCCTCCCACGCGTTGTGCGCTCGGCAAATCCGGGCCTACAAGACTTTGGCGCCCATTAATAGCCACGGACAAAACAAACTGTCTTGCGAGGTTGACTGCTGCGGCGGACGGGAAGGGAGTTGGAGCGGGCGACTATGATATCTCTTGAGGGATGGCGGTTTTTATACCTGGGCAATTTTTGGGACATGGGAGTTTGACACGATACCGGAGGCACGGGCGCGTTGGCGGGTTGGTCTCTGGGGTTTTGATCTGTTTGTCGAAAGAAGCCTTGAACCTGAGGCCCGCGAGGAGTAGGCTATAATACCACAGCGAGAGTCATTTGACATGTTTTTTTTGTGTTTGGGCAGGCTTTGGCTTGGGTCATGGATGCGTTCGGGGCGAGTGACACACTGGTGAGGTTGGCTAACGGAAGACTGGCCGTACCGGAGTGGGAAGTCGACGCTTGTCGTTGCATGAAGTTTGGTGCTCCCTGGACTGGTGATCGTGATGCTTGGCTCGCTTCCTTGAACCTGATCCCGACTCTTGTTGAACAGCCAGTGCTCGTTGATTTGCTCAACGATTGTATAGACAGTATATGATGGTTCGAGACGACAAGATCCACTTGCGAACCTGATCAAGCATGCACCGCTGATTCCTACGTCCAGTTTGTATTTCGTTGCAGGTGGCCCCCGCGGGGCCAAGGAACAGCGGCCTGGATAGAGGCTAAGAGCTACGAGAACGTGTATATAAGGACTGCGGAAGGCCCTCCCAGCTGTGGAGGACCAGAATCCAGATGTTTTGCAACCCTAGTCCTCCTGTGTATTGCCTGCGGACCACGTGTGGGAGACCTCTTCACTCTGTCCCAATCCACGCACTGACACTCGTGCCATAGGAGTAGACAGTTTGCTCATCTTGCCTCCCCTTGCCCGGATTCAGACTCGGCTACATGATAGACGTTCACTGACATTGATGAGTCGTTAAACAATTTATTCTCGCGCGCCTTGTCGATGCACACTGGCGCCGCTTGCATGAAAGGTGCAATGATTAGTTCCCTACCAATTTTTCTCATAGGCCCACATTATAGACAAAAACAACTCTGCGTAGTATGGTTTAGCTGATCTTCGGATAGTGGCCCATGATGCTGGCTGGAAGACCCACGAAGATGCCGGGATGTATCCACACACGGTTCACAGCGTCACCACAAAATCTGCCAATATCGTAAGACATCCGTCCAGCCCCTCCTGCTCCCATCCCAAGAAGATTAACATTTTAGTGTCTTCGTCTCCATCCCTGTAAACGAAGGGCTGGTCCTTGAGTTCTGAAGAATTCTCCACCTCCAACAGAGTGCCGTGTTGCTCTGCCCTAAGCAAATCGTCAATCTCTTTGGGGTCCTCTAAGCTGCAGAGTCTTTTTGCGACAGCCCCGGTCAGAATCAAACATGAGACCGTCGAATCGTCCAGCAGGAACGCAGGCCGGATGCGGCACAATACCCAGAGAGGGCCCCACGCTTTGTCGGTTGTTGCGTCTCTCAACATCAGCGAGTAGCCAGTCCAACCGAGCTCGTCCGGCGTACTGCAATACTTCACTCTGTGAATGCTGTGATCGGGATATTTGCTTGTGACGCGTCCTTCTGCGTTCAGATAGTCTTCGACGCGCGTTTCGAGCGGCCTTTGCGACCTTTGCGACCCTCTGGTCTTAACTGAACAGTGCGGGTGGAAATCTAGTCTCCTGATTGGCAGTTGTGTTGCCGTTCCGACCCGATCTGACTGGTATCGTGTTTGACGTGGATTTTGGAGTAGATAGAACTGCGTCATTTCGAACGCCAGGGCCACCAGTTCCTTTACCTTAAAAGCCATCATTTCAAATTCTAGCACTGTTTGGGTGTAATCCCTGACAAACAACTTCAAGCTGGCGTCCAGAGGTCTAACGAGCAAGCCAAACTGGTGATAGTCAGTTGTCGTGGAGAGCGCCGCAACGTAAAGAGTCTTGGAAAAGCCACCATCTTGAGCTATAATGCTCCCGAGTTCAGCTTTCAACCTGTTATCATAGACGCACTTGTCATACAGTCTGTCGATAGAAGCCAGGGGTGCGTGGAGCTGCAGGCCCTTGTTCGTCATGGCGAAGGGCGTCTCCAACGATGATATGCGGGTCCATGCTGCGCGATGTGTGGATACATGTGAAAACTCCCGTGGGCTTCGGGCCAGAGGGCCTCTCAGAGTACGATGCTCATCGTCTGATGTCTTCCAAAAAAAAATTGATGGACTATCGTCAACTTTCATGATTTCTTCTTGCAACCGCAGGAAGGCTTTCGACCCTTCACCGTAGAGAAGCGGCATGTTGATATCGAACAGGCCCATGAGGCAGTAGGCCATGTCTTCTACCCTCGACGTTTGGCGGTGTGCAGCCCAACTCATCTTTATCCCTACGCTCATGTCTCCGAAAAGGCCATCGATCAAGTGATCCCGGTCGATGGAGAGAAACCCCGAAAGAACTTGCGCGTGCTCTTCCTTGGTGCCCATGGCCGTCCAATCTGCGGTGTAGAAACCGACATTTGCGGGCGCGAGGACTTCCTGGAGAGTCCAGCCCCGGGTGAACCACCTGCAGTGACCTATGTCGTCCATCGAGGCCGACCCTGGGCTAGGCTTATAGTCTTGGAGGTAGACCAGGCATAGCTCTGAATCGCGATACCAGGAAAACATGGAATTGATGGCCTCGGACAGCTCGGCGCTGCTGGACTTGTCGATGCAGCATGTGTCGATCCAGGTATAGGAATAGCCCAGCTTTCGACTCTCCGCAGCACACGCCTGGATCTTTTGGTAGCCGGCTTTGCGCCGCACCTCGTCGGTGGGGTTCAGCATTTGCTGGTGGGTGATCTCCTCAGCTTCCCATGTGTGTGAGAGGATGGAGTACTTCGGAATGGAGCCGAAGAAACAGTGGAGGGTGAGGTCATCGGTTTTGAGAAGCCACATCTTGGTGATTTGTGAGTTTGGACCTTGGGATGAGCGGTATGATTTCAAGTTGAGAATGTGGTGGTATCGAGGCGGAAAGAAGATATCTTAAGAGGCCATTAGGCGCTGACCCCCCTGGCAAGGCTGCATGACCTGCATGAGAATGTATGCTGCGCCACCCAACAGCAAGTGGGATTCAATTCGTCACGCAATGATGGGAAAAGACGTTCAGATGGGCACAGGACAGTACGACTTTTCACAGGCAGTTCCTCGGTCATTGGGGCACCTCACCATAGGAGGTGCTAGGTTGATGAAGAGAGCTGTAGCCGGATATGTGGCGAGATTGTAGTATCGCCTCCTGGTGCACAGATGCTCCCATTCAAGTTCACCAAGGCACTGGACTCGAACCTCAGCAGCTGACTAGCTCAGGCCGAGATTGGCACCTCACGATCGCGAAGGAGCGACTTTGGGTATTGCGAGACCGCTGAGCTGAAGTGAAGCCATCGTCTTGATAAAGCCGACGAAGAACGATCTGCCTCCGCCTGCGCGAGTCATGCGCCTACCGCCGGCTTCGGAACTTGAGCCGAGGGTTGACGACCCTGACGCGGGGCAATCAGCTTAGTTGGGCGAACATGGCCACCAGCCTTAGCGAGCATCCTGCGACGGACGCCGAACGCGAAACGACAGCACACTTCGGCCCCGCGATTCGGCTCGCCGCCCCGGCCCATCATTGCTTCCCTCGGCGCAGATGGAGCGAGAAGAGTCGGCATCGGCCGAGCCGCAGCCTGGCAAGGTCGCCCGGTCGGCCGCTGCGTGAGTTTGGCCCCATGCCCCCGCCCGTGGCCCGAGACTCGGCTTGGCTTTGCGTGAGGGCTACCCTGCCATGCGAGGACGTAATTGACGTATCCCAGGTGCCATACGTGCCGGAGCAAGAAGGTCAAGTGCTCGGGGAGCTATCCGTGTCGGTATTGCTCGAAGCGAAACCTTGAATGCCAGTTCCCAGGACACGGCAAACGAAAGTTGTTTTCCGTCTCGTGAGTGCTGTCATGATTCCTGCGCATGTCACTTTGTTCAGCTGCTGATTTGGGTAGGGATATCCAGAATCTCGAAGATCGTCTGCAATTGTACGAACAACAGAGCGGCCAGCCGTCGGCCAAGGTAGCACGAGGTGAGCAGCCTTCCCGCGTGGTGTGCCCGCACCTCACCATGACACGATGCTCATCGATCATCTAGTCGCACGATCCGAAAGCGAAGGCCATGTAGTTTTATCGTCCACAGTATCTGTCACCAACGATGGCACCCGTCAACCGGAGACCCCCTCGCCTGCGTATGGCTTCCGGACCGACCCCAACCGCCACGGCCGCACATCGAGCTATCCTATCAGCGCCTCACACACAACACCATCCGCCGACCCCGCAGGGGATGCCATCAGCTCCAGCTACGATCTGCGGACCGATGTGCGAAGTCTGCTCGCCTCGCGCCCGAGCCTGCCCTCACACCCAAGTCACGACGAACGCGGCTCCCTCCAGCCGGGGCGCCCGTCATCTCGCCCGCACCGGACGATCCTCGACATGCTGCCGCCAGAATCAGACGCCGCGTTCCTCGTCGAGACGCTCCTCTCCTTTGTCGGGGTCTCGCAGCAGTTCTTCGATCCTCGGGACGTGCTGGACCAGGTCGACCAGCTCTACGAGAATCCCGACAAGCTGAAGCAGGACTCGATCCTGCGCTTCTGCGAAACCATTCTGGTGCTTGCCGTGGGCATCCAGTTTGCAGTCAAGTCAACAGAGCGGAAGAAGAACCCCGGGATCGAGCTTTTTGACTTTGCCATGGGCTCTCTGCCGAGCGTGTCGACCTGGCGCGCAACGAGCACGCCGATCATGGGCATCCTCGGCCTGGCGGCTGTCTACCTGCAGAACCTCGACCGAAAAGACGACGCATACTTCTACGTCAGTACCGCCCGAGACCGGAAGATGGCGCCCCCCAAACTAACACGCAGCAGTCAAGCACAGCGTTGCGGCTGGCGATATCCTGCCGCCTGCATAAGAAGGCCCATACGCGACGTCAGCTGCAGTCGGAATGGGTCAAGTCGAACAGACTCTGGTGGACGATCTACATGCAAGACAGGTACATGATCCGTCTCGAAACACGTCCGAAGGAAGAACTGACGATGGCGCGGAAGACGCCTAGCAGCAGCGACAGAAAGCCCTTTGGGCATCGAGGACGACGCGATCACGATCGAGGCGCCGTTTCCGTCATTCGGCTTCCAGTCGCCTGATGCCATCAACATCAATGTCAGCCTGGCTCGCGTCAGCGGCCAGATCTACTCCAGTATGCGACCTTGTCCGAATGCGTTTTGTGGAAATTCTGCTGACGGAACCCAGCAATCTATGGCTGCCACATGATTCGACAGGATGCGTTCGTGATCCGCGTGCAGGCTGTGATGCGATCCCTCCACAAGATTGCCCGCAGCATGCCCTCCGAGTTCTCGCTGGACTTCGGGGCGCCTGTTCTGAAAGTGACCAGAACGGCAGCATCACTACACTTGATGCTCTACCAGGTCAGTAGTCTGCATGAAACGTCTGCGTAGGGACGCGGCTGACATTGGCCGTCACAGCCCTTGATGTACGCTGCGCGACCGCTGCTGCTCAGAGCGGCAAAAGGTGTCATCGGCCACCAGACGCAGAGCAGTGGCTTGGACGAGCCCCTGCTGCAGTCTCTCATCAAGCCGTGCCTGGCCGCTGCTCGTCGAAGCCTCATGATTCTGACGGCCATGCAGAACCAGGGCATCCTTGGTGCGTGACCAGACCAACCCCCTCTCTGCCCACGTCGGCATCCCGCTAACAAACCCGTCAGCGATGTACGGCTTCTTCGACCTGGACGCCATCTTCTCCGCAGCCTTCAGCGTCATACTCGACAGCGTCATGAACACGCACGCCAGGACAGCCAACTCGACCTGGCTCAACAGCGCGTGCCATCTGCTCCTCGTCATGGGGGAGTGCGGCAACGCTGCCGCCGCATCACGCAGGGTCGAGATCCTGCGCATATGCGAGCACCTCTCGCTGCCCTTTGAGCCCGACGAGCACAACAGGTCGATCCCGGGCGACGGCACCAAGGCAGCCGACGCCGTCAACCGCGTCGACGACGTCGCCGCCACGCTGACGTCCCTGCGCCAGGGGAACCTGCCTCCGTACAGCACGGCGCCGCCGTCCTCCGAGTTCTCCGGGGCGGCGCAGACGATCGGCATGGCCGGGCTCACGGACGACACGGTCAGTCCGTTTGCCCAGCTCGAGGACATGTTTGACATCCAGGCGTTCCTCGGATCGGATGAGCAGCCGAGCGGCGAGGCGCAGTTGTCGGAGCATGTGGCGGCGACTGAGGGCGCGACGATCGATGATGGCGATTTCTCCTGGCTGTACCAAGATTCTGATTTCGCGTTGACGGGCGCGGACATGACGGACTGGGAGGTGTTTGGGCGGTATCTCAATCTTTCGTAATGGCATCATTTCATTCAAGGCCCCAGCAAATGGGCGGGTATCGCTGTCTACGCCTTTCGTATCTTTGTTTCTTCCAGCGCCACAACATCCTTGACTGCTGCGCTCATAAACTTGGCCATCATGGACATGTCGTGCTGGACCACGATCCACCGGATACCGTACTCGTGGATGCACTTGTGAATGATGTCCGGGCGGTCGTAGATACCGGCGAGGGCGAGAAGTCGTCCGTGGCGTTTCGCAGCCTGGGAAATCTTGCGTATAGCACCGTCAAAGACGGGACTGTCCCATTTTCCGGGAATGCCGAGCTCAATAGACAGGTCGTTTGAGCCGACCATGATGACGTCGACGCCTTCGACAGAGGCAATGTCGTCGATGCGGTCCACGGCTTCGGGGCTCTCAATCATGACAAACACTGAAGACAGCGACGCGTTACCGACCTCGATGACCTTGTCGACAGAGGCAGACTTGTAGCCGAAGTGCGGCAGCGTGCCAGTAATGGATCTCTTGCCGAGCGGAGGGAACTTGCACGCTCTGACAGCTTCTTGGGCTTGCTCTGCTCTCGCATCAGTATACTCTGCGCAGTCGCTTCAACGAGGCGGGCCCGTAGCATACCGATAGTGTCGACGTGGGGAAAGATGACACCCTGGGCGCCGCCGTCAAGAACCCGTTGCACGAAACCTCGCCCGACATGGCCCGGCACCCGCACAAAGGGCGAGATGCCGGCTGTCATGGACGTGACGCAGAGCTCGCTGGCCGTGCCGAGGGACAGGGTGGAGTGCTCGAGATCGATGAAGATGCCGTTGAAGCCGGCGTTTGCGACGAAGCGAGGGGTCTCGAGGGCTGTGAGGACTTTAATGCCGAAGACCTGAGCATATCAGACGTCGATCGTAGGAGGAGAAATGTAGTGTTACGTGCCTTGCAGACCTTGTCTTGGGCGGCGAGCTCATTGAGACGATTTGGGTAGGCGGACATGATTGCGACGTGTCCGAGACACACAACTGGGCGACCACAAGGCTTGTTGCTCAAAAGAACGAGGATAATGGTGAAGGTGTAAGTAAAGCTGATTGTCAGAATGCCAGTGGTCTTACATGACTCTGACTCTGGGACCCATTCGGCATCTTTGGCGTCGGGGACGGATGCCGAGATGGCTTCGGTCGCTCACCCCGATGGTGGGCCTCCAAGACGAGTCCCATTCTTTTCGTCATATTCGCTTTTAATCAGACCTCGAGCAGATGATACAATTGACGTCGCTGGCTCTCGTCGGAATAAGTCGCAAAGACGACGGGACGAGGCTCATGAGAGTGTAACCTCTTGCGTCGAAGGTCTGTTGATGACCGACCCCTGGACCGACGTCCCTCGACCTGCATCAGCTGAACCCCATGCCCACCACAAGGCCCGCGGCGACCAATCTAATTGTACGACCCCAGCACATATTGCGGCACGGAAGAATACCCCGCCCACCAGCAGCAAACATGAACGCGCAAGAGCCGCATGTATGATGCAGAGGGAACGGAAACCTCTCACGTT